CACTGGAATATTGACAATATGCTACAAAAATCGTAACAATTATGATAACCAGAAAATGGACAATGAAATCGCATGTAAACTTTACAAAATGCAAGGAGTACTGTATTCTCACATAATAAACACCTCCGAATTGGTGTTAACATAGTAGAAACATGTTCATATTGCAATGGCGAATCCGAGGAGGGTGGTTTGGTTTGCAAACCACACCCCCAACTGACCAATAGTGATTATTGTACGACACAACGAACAAAATCCCTTTAGAGTCGTAATAACGTTATTATATCACTTATCTTGATTCACTGTTTCAGGTCTTTGGTCTATTACTGCAATGCCTCATCATCCCTTGAAACATATTGTATATTTCAACACCCCAGCCACCCCATTTCAGAAAATCTTAGCTCGTTCAAGGGATTCACATGTTGAATAACTTTTGGTATATTGGTATTTGTTGGAATACTTGAATTATAAATCACTGAATTCTGCATATTGAATGCATACTGATGTTTTTCATCTGAACGTTATGGTAGCATATGTTACGGACGGAATTTAAAGGGCAATCTGTTTCTTTACAGCAGAAAACATGCATTTGTTCCTTCCTACCATATATGATATGTGTTTCATCATTGCCTTAATGTCCCATGGTTTCTTTCTCGACAATTGCTTTGTAAAATTATAAATTCCAAACGGCTACCAATCATTTAAGCAAGTTGGAGTATCCCTTTAATTCGAGGAAGTATCTGAATGGCCCATGCGATCGCTGTGAGGCTTATAATTTGCAATCGCTATATTCTTGAAAATAGGAAAGGCTGTTAAACTTACCATGATGCCAAAAAAACACAACCCATAACCGGCCACATCCCCACCATATCCTGTGCTTGTTTCCTTTGAGTATAAAACCCCTTAAGGGTAATGTTGCTTTCCTCAAATCTAAACGAGGAAACGAAACTGGTACAAATAAGATCAGGAAAAAACATGATTGACCGCATAATTTTTCTTATAACACCTCACCCACAGATGCTGTGTCTTGATTGGCTGAGAGCGGGTCACATGGAACTTTCTATCTTAGCTATATTTCAGTGCACGGCCAAAAGTACTATACTCATAGCAACCAAAGTATACCCGTAGCAACCAAAGTAGCCTACTACACGCACTGTGTGCGAAATGCAAAGTCGTGTGTGTGTTACACGTTGCGCGTATTGTTTCCAAGCGCGAGCGCTACAGAGCTGGGTTTAAACATTTCGTGAAGGGGTAGTAAAAAAAACAGCAAGTTAGTATTCAATTAATTTCGTATTCAAAGGGAAATAAACTTTTGTTTTATTCAGATGAAATTAATCAGTTATCGCTTATAACGGGACAGGTCTTATAAAACAAATATTGACTGCTATATCTCGTGGTGTAGTAAAACTAGCCTCCCTTGGTGATCCATGGAGCATTCTATATTCCTTCGGCTTCGCCTCGGGAAAAATAGAATGCTTCATGGATCACCTCGGGAGGCTAGTTTTACTACACCACTCGAAGCAGTTTATATATGTGTAGCAGACTATTCCAATTTTATATTCATAACAGAGATCATCTTTTTTCCCCAATTCTCAAAGAAAAGACGTATGAACCATACTACAGCCACAAAGTTCTCACATTTATCAGCTTATCGTTCATTTAATTTCTTCCAATTGAGGCCTATTCAAAAAGGTGAACCTTAATCGTATTGCTGGTTTAACACTAAAAAATCATTTGTTGGCGCCCTTGTTTGCTATTGAATGACGTCTCAAATAATGACCAACATCGTTCCCATAGCTGCTAGTGATCTCTCCCATGAAAGTATTTGACAATGTGCATATCAAACAATCCTCGATAGCATTATGATGCACTTAATACTACAAGCCATCTTTATTTTCAAATATTACATTTCCAGCACTTTTCCTCGAGATTCCTCGAGATATCTGATATTTAGTAAAAATGAAAAATGAAAACTCTTTTAAAGATTAGGTATAACACAATACAGTTCGTCAAGACACTTAAAGGGCAGTGTTGTAGTATTCGTACTCGTACTCGTACTTCAATGTCAAAGTACTCGTACTCGACATGTCAAAATTGTACTCGATCATAAAGGTACTCGTACTTGAAACAAAGTTTGTATGGCATGACTAACGTAAAACGCTGAGGCGTTCCTCAAAATAGTCGTTCGATTAACCTTGGTGATTGGAACAGTTTTCCGAACCCCGCTTTCGGCTCCCTGTCCGGGTCCAGCCCTATTGCAAACCTGCATGAATCGGGGAAGAGACTGAGCCGAAGCCGGGGTTTGGAAAACAGCCCCTAGTCTGGTTCCCGCATCAGGCCCACAGACATAAAACACAGGCCTAGGATTGTCACGTCGCGTCAAGGGAGCAGACTATAGCGTAGTACACGTACGTTACAACGAATCTGCTACGTTGCATGTTGTACCGTCCATGCTCGCTTGTCAAAAATTGTCGGCCTGTGAAGAATTTTTGGCACTTTGTGCTCAAGTTGTAACTTGTTCGTGACAAAAATCACGCAATATATCGTCTGTATACATGTACAAGTACTCGCACTCGGAAGTACTCGTACTCGTACTCGAACTCAGCAACCTATTCGGCAGCACCGGGTACTCGGGAAAAAGTACTCGACTACAACACTGTTGAAGGGCCCATGATAAAAGGATTTTATTTTGAAATCCAATCCTTGGAAATGTACTTTTGTGTTCCATTGAAAATATTTTTAATCTTCATATTACCATTTTAAGGGCGTTTTAGGTGCCTTTTGGTTTGTATGTTAATACAAATTTCCACATCATTGAGCAAAAATGTGATGTCATTTAAGGTAGAAACTTCAGTCTTACATCTGCTTTAGTATAAAAAAAATCACCAGAATTGTTCTGTTATCGGTTCATTAATGTTTCAGTATTTGACAGAAATACATTATACTTTATCAACGCAAGTAAGCAGCATTTTAGACTAACAATTTGAAGAGAAAAACCCTATTCCTAAAATGGTTTTATATTACAGCAGCAGCGCCCTCATCAGTAATTGTCGGGAAAAGCATGAAACATTTTAAATGTTTACAAGTGTGCAGTTTACAACTTTATTTTACCAAAAAGGGATGTCTAATATTTTTTTATGCATTTCAGAGTAAAGGATATTTGCTACAAATATGCTACAAATATGCATTTTATAATTCATTTCGTAGACCCTTAAATACATTTGGAAAAAAATCAGCATGAACACAATACAAATCCGTGGTTTATTACAGCGATAACGAATCAGAATTGAGAGATCGAACAGAAACCCCTTATTGTGAACAGATCTCTGTTCCTCTATAGTACGAATTAGTAGATACCTTGTGCATTCACTGTCGTCGAATTTAAATAACAAAAACCTGTCCACTGGGACAAAGTTCTGGGCAAGCTCTCGATTTGTGCCTACCTCACTTTAGATTCATTAGAAAAGTCAGAATCGTAAGGTCTGGGAACCAGACTACAGAAGTTGCCCCAAGGAACCAGCAACAGTCCGGTGGCTAATTACAGCCACACATTGTGCGCGATCATGATACGCTGGAACAACGGTTAATTGTTCACATTCTAGAGGGGCGCCCGGTTTGAGCGGCCTGGGTCAAGGCTACACTTAACACAAACTTCATAAGATAATTAAATAATGAAAGGTTTGCGGAAACACCATGTGCGAATAATTTCTCAACTAAGAGAATGGTTCTGAAAAGAACCAGAGGTATAAACTCGACGTTCCGGTCAGTATGCTCTGACCGTCTTCAGTATGCTCTGACGGTCAGAGCATACTGACCGGAACGTCGAGTTTTTACCTCTGGTTCTTTTCAGAACCATTCTCTTAGTTGAGAAATTATTCGCACATGGTGTTTCCGCAAACCTTTCATTATTTAGTATATCCACCGTGCAAAGCCTCAAATCTTACTTATAGGATAATTAGATACTGTACTGTATTGTTCAATGCAGTGAATTTCCACAAAAGTGTGAAATGTAAGTTCTGAGTAGGTTAAAAAGGATGTAGTCTATTTAATACCCCAAATGGAGTTTATTTAATATCCCAATATGCTAAGTCATATTATTATTGCTTATTCACAAATACCTAAGACTGTTTACGCATTCCTATTGGTCGAGAACCCGTCACGTGGCCGGTCTTAAACGGATGATAAAGACATGGCTAGCTGGTCTTAAACACTTTTCCAGTGTCACAATAAAATGTGGACTCCTACAAATCCAGTGCCTCTTATCGTTTCATTGGTTGAACGTTCACAATCCTCACGTAGGCATGCGCAACACTACTAGGGAGGCAGAATTTTATAGTTCAAAATTCAAAACGCAACGCGCCAGGTGCGTTCTGTGCGACATCGCGCAGAACATGATACGCGCGCATCAATCTCCATAAAAGGGTTGTTTACATCTTACTCGCCAGCTGAACACTCCATTATTTTGCAAGAGGGATGTTTCAAAAAACATAAAGTGAATTTGTTGAACAAAATCGGGATGTTTTGAACGAATTATATGATTTTTTTTTACCGAAAATGTATTTATGAATGGGAATAAATATGTGCTCCGTCGGTATTTATCACTCTGTTTAAGACCACTTAGAGTCTGGGTGCTGATAATTACCCTCGCCTCCGGCTCGGGTAATTATCAGCACCCAGACTCTAAGTGGTCTTAACAGAGTGATAAAAACCTCCGGAGCACACATTTATTCCCTTATTAAAAAAAAATTGTATGTGTTTCTGTTCCATTCTTCTTTGAGAAAAACACATTTTATTCTTTTGTTACATGATAACTTTGATTCTTGGATAAATACAAGCATATATAAGGCTCTTTCTTTGATTTATTTATTTATTAGGTTATATAGTTAATTATCTTAAATGCATCCGAATTAAGTTTGATTAAACATTGACGTAAAGCTGCAATATGTGTAACTTATGGTGTGCCAGGTATAATGGCACCTGTTTCAATCGTAAGTCTCTTTGGTTTAACCGTGCACCAGCGAAGGGATAATGGTAGCCATTTCCAGCGCAAGTCTTTCAGCGTTATCCGTGCACCAGCGGGTGAGATCCAACACCTGGAATGATTTCTCTTCACCATTGCATGTCGTTATCCGGACAATGACGTCATCACCTCCTCCCTGGAGAAATGTCTCCATGGCTATGAAATTATAGTTCTCTTCGGAGACGCATGGTTGGGCCTGTTATTAAAAACATTATGTGTAAAGAATATGGCATTGAGGTTCATTTTTACTTTGAGTACAGGAGTCATTTTTACAGGAGTCTGTGACGGTTGAAGCCTTCAAGGTTACGTTGCAACAAATACCTCAGTGTTGCAAGTGTTTCATGACAGGTTGAAATATCCTTGACATCTCACGCCATAGAGCGAAACTTTGTTTTGTCTCACAGCGCTCTTCTGATCTGATGCTATAGCGCTCAGTATTTCTCTGTTTAATCCCTGGGACACTCAACGCATTTTTATCTCCCACGAGATCCCGATGGTTGCAGATAGCAGGCCTGAAAAGGCCTACGCCGATTAAATGTGTATGCCGTTAGTCGTCTGTCATAATGAGGAGAACTGCAGCGCTCGCACTGGAGGTTTGTAGCAAAGAAGAGTCCTAACTCTAAACTGGACTCTGTACATTAGAAACACTACATGAGAAAAGGAAACCCTGGAAACGTTGAGCATGTGAGCGTAAGCGTGTCTATGCCGGGAGTTGAGCTTGAGGTCAGTTGCCAAAGACGCTAGTGATCGATAGTGGACGGTGAATAGTGCGCCCTCTAATGGCACAGCGATTAGACCAGCGGGCCTTCTCCCACTATTAACGTCTTGGCCAATTCGTATCAGCGGTTTATCATGGGACGTCTTTGTTAGGTGAAAGGGCGCCCTCTTTTTGTAGCTCACGGAGCTCATATGGGCAGTGAGCAAGCATCATCGCTAATTATGCAACGCAGTGATACCCCACGCGAGGGCGCGAATACTGCGGCAAATGGAACTGCCGTTTTGTTCGAATTTATACAGACGGTCATCTTTACATAAAATGGCCACGCCCACATTGCTACGAAATGAATAAGACGTTACTGAGAGAACTAAACAATCATGCAATGTCAATGCAGAACATTGCTACCGCTCTTGACCACTGACGTTTTGGGCCAATACTATTGAGCATGCAGCGCAGTTTAGTAGACATCAGTGAGCGCAGTTTAAGAAACCTAAAGCATTGTGATGTCACGCTTTGTTTACAAAGTGTAACGACGCGCCATCTGTGCTTTTATCTGAGAGTTTGTAACCCTCTTCCCCACCTGGCTCGTACTGGAAATCGAAAGCGCACGCGAAAACTAAACTTAGCTTCATTTTGTCTCCTTGCCATCAGAACCTACTTTCTCACGGGCGTTACACGACAGCTACCACAAAGTGAACTGAACACTTGTACGCATACCTTCAAGATTATGTCCACCAGTTTCTTGTCGACCCCCATCTTGCTGAGGTTTTTCTCCAGCTGCTTCTTGACTACCCCCTTCCAGTGGCCGGGTTCATTTTGCTGGCGGCTTTCATCATCAGGGCACATGTCCAGAAAGGGAAAAGCAATAGGCCTCTCCTCTGTTACTTTCTGTGCTCGCCGAGATACCTTCGGTGAATTCGGTTTCAGGTTGGCTGCAGCTCCACACTGAAAAAAAAGGTTGTACACCATTCAGAAATGATTAAAACATGTATTCAAGAAACCCTTGTCTTGTCTATCGTAATTGATTTTAAATAGCTGTCTACTCAAAAACAAAACCTATGCATTTCTCCCAAATCTAGCAACCAAAGAGATCTTACCCATCATTCGAATTTAATCTGAGTGCCTAAGGACCGACTATTTGGTTATTGTACCCATCGTTGTCCTACGAACGATAGTCATGGCGCAGAACTCAATTTCTAGAACGCAACATTGGTTGGACTCGAGGCAGGGTAACCAGAGGCGTCAACCGCAATTAAAGGGCTTTCCTTAATACATTATTAGCAACCGTTTAGAGCTTCAACCGTTTCTAAACGGTAAATTGCACCACTGTTGTATGTTCAAATCTACGAAATGTTCAGATCAGTAGATGTCTGTGACATGTTTATAGGCACAGGACGAAAGTCCATTGATACCATCAAGTGTAAATTGAAAACAAGTAAAGAAAATTACTTATAGAATTGAAGTCGAGTATTATTGGGGGCACTTATTACAAGCTTCCTTACTGTGCAAACACATCTGAAGTAAACGTGCGGAAAAAGCGGTTACAAAAAAACTATTTGAGCATATGCACCATGTTGACAGTGTATATTTCAGAAAGCAGCCATATACCTTCAAAGCAAGTACATACCGACGCTAAATGACAATGTCTGAAAACCAAAGACTTTAAAATCGTACTTATTTATAGTTGAAACTAAAAACGTACAAAACATTCCCTACCTCGTTCTTATGCTTAGCTAAAACTGAATTCAGTAGTTTGACGGCCTCTCTGCATGTGTCTCTACACTTCGTCCGAACTTCGTTATTCCGGTGCAATAGCGCGTCTTCAACTGTTTGATGGCACCGGCGGAGTTTTTGAGTAAACGTGCATCCTCCATCGGTCAGTTTCGACTCCAGCTCGTCAGTCTCCACATCACGTGGCGAAGACAGCCTTCTGCTTGTACGAATCAACGCCATCATCTGCGAAAATGAAGCAATCACGCAACATGTAGAATGTAGATGTTTTACGGTTTCAGACAAAGTTTCTTTAAATGTTGTTGTCGTTGTCAGTCAAGACAGAATCTATGTGTCTGGTTTCAAATAAGTTAATTCGATGTGTTCGTTTAAGAACCCAGGTTGTATTTCTGAAGGTGCTGGTTCACAACTTGTATGTAGTTTTCTACTAGTTATCCCGATGTGAAGCTTACCTCAAGTAATGTCCAAGTACTTCCGATCCGGACGACAAAGTCTTCGTTGTTTGACAGCACTTGAAGCAGCTCGTCGGCTGTCTCATGCTCGCCACGTCTGATATCATCCTCAAGTTGCTTCACCTTCGTCTGCAGATCTCTGGACTTCTTCATGGCGACGAAGAAAAAGTTGCAGATCTCCTCGACCTTATCTGTGCACTGACGAGCCAAGGCGACTGGGTCCTTGGATGTCTGTAGTATGTCATTTAAATGAACATCACTGTGTTTGATCTTGTTAACCAGCGTGCAAAACGTTTTCAGGAAGCCATTTTGGGAACTGCACCCTGGTTGTGTCTGAAACGAAGGTAAAATAAGATTGGTGAATCATGTTTCATTTTAAATTTACCATGTAGAGAAATCAAGTTTTATATAGGTGTTCAATTGCGTCGTTCAACCTCTTTATCGACGTCCCTATAGACCATTATTATGTTGCGGCCTTCTTGATTTTTATCCCATTTAAATCAACGTAACAAAAGGGAGGCTGTTGCGGCCCTCTTGATTTTGTTTCCATTCAAATCAACGTAACCAAAGCGAGGCTGGAAGGACAAATAGTCCGGTCCTTTTTTGAACAAAAATCTTTATCATTTAGTACTAATATTTGCTACAGGGAACAAGACTGAAATGGTGGCAGCATAAAAAAGGTCTTTGAGCAAGATTTATCTGTGTATCACTGGTAAGGTCTTAACTGTCTTTGACAGATTAAGAAAGTGCTTACTTATCCCCGTCATGACTTATACAATTAATAAATGCTTGGTTTGGAACTAGACGGTACTCTTTCAAGGCAAATGACAGAACAACGTCATCTTCCAGATATGTGAAGGCCTACAGTGCGTGTATCAGTATTGCATACCATTAGGAGCTGCTCGTAGAGCTTTGGATAATGTTTCTTCATGTCGATCCCGAAGGTTGCAATGACGTTTCTTCGAAATTTGTCTTGAATGTTCGCGGCATTTCTTTCGTCTAGTATTAGAGGAAAATACTGACCTCTCATTTCTCCAAGGCCGAGCTCTTCTTTCTGAAATGAAAAAAAAAAAAAAAAAAAAACCCGAATTAACATTCTTACTGGGGCTGATTATGATTGGGGTATTGATGTTCCAATCAAAGCTGCAATGTCTGTGCTGTTTTTACGTTTCACCGCAAAGATAGACCTATAAGACAAGTTATTCACATTTGATCAGCGGATGAAAACAATCGACGATCATTTAGTTGTAAAGTTAGAGCCCCTACAAATTTCAAATAATTTGCGGCCCGACAATAATTTACTTCTCACATGGTAGACTGGTTCCCACTCTCTATCAATATCGATAATGTAGAATCCGGGAACCATGTCTACTCGAAGGGCGCACCCTATTGTACGCAAACATAACTCAATATAAAAGCCTTTTTCTAAGCGGTTGCAAACGCTCAATATAAACGTTTTGTTGAAATAAATTAGCCAATTATAAGCTGCAAATTCGGTATGAGAACAAGAATCAAATTTGTGTAAAGTAGGGACAGTATAGACGCAAATTTCACTGATTTCCACAGGCTTTGTACTTTTTTCTTTGTACTTTGTACTTTGTACTTAATTCCCAAACGTTTGTTCTGTTGTCGCAACGAACAGTCACTAACAAAGAATCACTTGAAACTGATTGAAACTAGTTACATTGCTTTTCCCTGTAATCCACAGAATACCTACCCCAAACCTGACAACAATACGGTCCAACAGGGGACGTAGTTTCTCACAGCAATCGGTAGCAGCATGGACTATTTCATCCGAAAACGTGTCCTTCTTTTCCTCTTCCCTTCCATCCAACTCCAGCTCCCCTTCGTTGTTTTCAAACCTGTGTAGGAGTATTTCTCTCTCCATGTTGAAATGCTCCCTCCAAGCCTGTCTGAAGAACGGCTCCTGATGCAAGATGGCCATCACATCACGCTTAATGGTTTTACAATTCAACGCCGATGCGTCTTTGTCTCTATCGCGGCTGCTGAGACCCTCGCCGAAAGAGAGGGGGTTTTCCTCTTGGTGTAGAAAATTGCTACTACGTAGGGAGCAGCTCACGTCAATTTCCGCAAGAATCTATATAACCGGAAAATAGAAATGGTAAATAAAGAAATAGAGTTGTAGCCAAAAAGTGTCATTGTAGATTTAATTCGAGTTAAAATACCATATGAGCACAGGTACAAACGGAGATATAAAAATAACGACCTACTTGTAGGAATATCCATCTTGATGTGATTTGAAGGCTATCTTTTTGGATCAGTCTGAGTAACTCCAAGCTGGCGACAAGACTGCCACATCTGACAGCCTTCCTGTAGAACATTATGCATCGAGACTCTAGTGGTATGGAAGCAAGAGTTGGCTCTGGCGGTTGAGCCTCTTGGTCAACTACCAGGGTGTCCTCTATTGGGATGTCCTCACTCTGCGTGGATGTGGATGGAATCTCCTGACGCTGAAGGTTTAACAGCTGAAACTCGTTGTGTGCGATAGCTAGAGCAATATCCGCCAATAGTTTTCGACTCTCTCCCTGGTTCAACCCAACTTCCATTGCACGCAGAGCATTTTCGTGAGCCTTCCTGAATGTCTCTTTTGCTTCATCTGGTCCGATATTTTGAGATAGAGCCTGCAGTTCTTCTTCAAGACCCATCTTCAGGTACGTCTGTGCCAAGTACCATGTAATTTTAAAGTTAGCCTCAGTATCATGTTGTACTAATAACCTCTCAGCTTCTTTAAAATTGAAGTTTTGAAAGTGCAGAATTCCGACTTCGAGGCATGAATTGTTCTGACTTACATAGTACTCCAACAGTTTTTCGTGAGCTAGCTCTTTAGGCCATTTAGCCTTCTCTGACACTTGCCATGTACCAGACGCCTCGTCTAGATATTCAAACGACGCTGCGATATCCATCACTGTGTGCCACATATCCATCCTTGAATCGTGTCTCGAGGCCGCTGGTGTATAATGGAGGAACTTGGCATATCTAAAGTAAAGATCTAGCTTATCTTCGGATGTCCGGTGTTCAGACTGCTGCAACCCGGTTTCGTAGATCTTTTCAGCTTCTTCGTGGTTCCCAAGGGCAGCGTGAACATTGCATAATTTCGTTAATGCAAAATTATGTCCTTTGTTGAGATCCAAGCATTTATGAAGCTCCTCAAGGGCTTCCTTGTTCCACTCGTCCTTTTTCTCCTGTATTGCTTTGTCTCTTTTAGAGCATGCGATGTAGCACAATGCCAACTGAAAATGACTTTCTGGACAGTCTGGGCTCCGTTCAATACCATTTTTTAATAATGGTATCGCCTCTTCAAACTCTCTTGTACCTTTGTAAAATCGTGCCAAATTTCGCACTACCTCTTGAACCTCGGGGTTTTTTTCGTAGGCTTTTGTCAAATGCTGACATCCTTTTTTTCTGTCCTTTTTTCCTCGTCGACTGAGGTTCAATCCAAGAGATGATCTCGCCAGCTGATATTCATCGTTCTTCCTCATCATCTTCAGCCAATACTCTTTTTCATTGTCCATGAGCCTTTGACCTTCTTTGTCCAGCTTTTTGTATAGAGAGCTTCCGGATCTCCTGTATCGAGCCATTCTGCCTGTCATCAGCCCAGCCCCATAGATGAAGTCTACATTTTTCGGGAAGCTCTGCAGTGCTACTTCGAACAGCTGCAAAGCAGTTTCCTTAACATGGGGTCCCAGACGTGTTAATGCTGCTGCTCGCACTGCCCCGACTACAGAGTGGTCTTTATCCCGTAACCTCACACTGTTCAATTCATTGAGTAGATCTGTCACTTTTTGCGTATTATGACATTTGTATTCGATCCACATCCGATTCAGGAGTGCTACAACTCTGTAGCCCTTACGTAATTGCACGTCTGTTCGCTCTATGCATTCGTCGGCTCTGTCGAGGAATTCTCTCGCCTTGCGGACATCCCAACGCTTTCGGTTGTCCCATACCTCTAGATAGGCTCTAAACAGAAGGCTTTCTATCCTCAATACATTTGGTGTCTCTTCTAAATCATGATCTATGTTACGTATAATTCGCTCGTAATCGGTAGTGACCGCAACTTTCAGATTCCAAGTGAAGTGACAAAGAGGTCTGTCTTTCCAAGGCAGCATTCTCTCCTCATTTCTGTAAGGTACATATTACGGAAAATCACATCAGTAACGTAAAATCGTGTTGATTTATATGACAATCATCAAAGTAGCTCGGGAATGCGAGTTGACATTTTGACAGAAAGCTGCTTCAATGTAATACGTCTAAGTATACACAAACACGTAATAATCTGGTTGTCTGTGAATCTAATGGTCGTCATAATTGTTCAATGTATATGCTCGTTTCTTGTCTCGGAATAGACACTGTGAACTGTTAACAGCCTATCAGTTGAGCCAATAGTCGGTTTTGGAAAACTAATATAGTAACTTCCTTTTGTAAGTAATGGCTGTCCCTTACGGAGTTTGACCGGAAATTGATAATCAATTAATGTTCGCATAAAATATGTTTTTTAACAACAATGGGGAAAACTTTGATCAATTGCCCTGTCGTAGTCATTGTTCAATGAAATGACGTCATCAGTTAAAAAAGAAGAAATCTTGGATAAAATAAAAGAAAATTACAATGATGGAGCAATTGACCCCCCTCGTATGACCCACTCCCCCGTCAACATGGTCATAGTGATGTAGTTTGACTTTTTTATTTTTAATGAAGGTTTATCTAGGGGGGGGGGGGGAGAAAGTGGTGATTGGAACCATCTGTCGATGGGGCGCTGTTCAAAACCGACGATTACGCACACTAACTGACAATTTTGGTGTTTTTCAGGGCGATACTTGCGCGAAATTAAAAAAAAACACCCATGATGGACGATGGCACAATTAATTGCACTTGATCACAAAAAAAAGGGGCACTTGATAACAAAAGAAGGGAACTCTTTACAAATATTGGGGGGGGGGGGGGGTAATTAAGCGCTGGAGAAAATAAGGGCAGAGTGGAAAAGGACTGGCTACGCCTATGGGGGTGTTGGCCAGTGGCACAAATCCGTGTCGGCGGTATAGGGGAGGGGTTAGGGATGATAAAAAATTGAAAAAAAATGCACGAAAAATTGCGAAAAATCTTCAATTAAAGATATTTTCCCTAATATTTAAAATTGGACTCTGGCCTATCGGCCTAGATACCTGAAATTTACATTCAAATGGATCTCTTTGTCATATCATTTCCCGCCTTTTTTTCAAGCAGACCTGTTTATGCAAAGCTTTTCCGTGAAACAAATGGCTTATGGGCAAAAAATTGATTTGTTTTAACCCATAAATATTTCGGGCGGCAAAAACTAATTTCTTGATTTTTTGAAAATTTCATATAGTATTGTGCGGCAGCGTATTACCATATATTTTAATAATTGGTGGACATAGAAATGTCGTCTGCTGTGATCAGTCGTGTCTCGCGAAGTCTCATACGTGATGTGAACTGATTTTCTGACGAGAAACGGACGCAAAAGAAAAACATGACGCTCTCCACGGCTGTTTACGTATGACGAAAAATTAGTAGCGAAAAAGTTAATAAAAACACTTTTCCACTCCTTTGATGAAATTAGATTGTTAGTATGTTAAAAAGTGATATTATCTCAGCGTGATGGCATTAAAACAAATTCTAGTGCAGTTTGTTCTATAGGTCAGGCCCTGTTTTGTTCTAATTTGACCGGACTATTATGGGGTAACCGTATTCAAACTTTTGGCCAAGGTCTAATTCACAACTGACAGATCAGTGGGTTAGTTAGTGAATCAGTAAGTAACACAGGTGCAAAGAGGACTTCGATAATATGCACGCCCTTCTTCGTCCAACAAAATGATTGTAGATATTTGCATCCACTTGTAACGAATGCTTCAAAAAGCCCTTTTACGGACCTTTGCTCATTTTGTTTTCGGGGTGAATGAGTGGTGGGTCGGGAAATGCGTACGGTGCACACCTTCGCCCCTTGGGAAGAGAGGACATGTGGCCGCTATAGGCCTATACTCAGCGGCGTAGCTACGGGGTTTGTGGAGGAGCATGCCCTCCTCCCCCTTCCCCGCAGTAAAAGTCGTCGCCCCCAGATGCCAACTACTAGAAATTTGTAAACCCCAAAAAAGCATAGTCCCATGTTACCGTGAGTAGTGGGTTAAAGATAAAGTTCATATAAAACACGTTTTTCTGTTTATTTTAAGGTCCCGTGGAAAGCGAATATCAAAACGCAGTAATTTGGCATTTACCATGATTTCGGTTTGCACTTTTGGATTTTACGATGGCCGGGTGGCGAATTTTCTTTTCCCAAACTACATCCATTATACATGGTTGTTGAGCGGCCTCTACGATACTTTTATGAAACGTACGCATGTATACATGTATATTATTTTTTTCCCCAAGAATTGGCAAGCAGTGCGATAGCTTAATTGGTACAGTATGGTGATTCTCGCGGTGTGGGTACAAGTCACCGTTTTGTACCAGATTTTTTTTCTTTCTGGGGCTTTGCAGTATATTTTTTTAAGGGAAATACAGTCCGAATTTCATTTCTTTTTTACCTATTTTTATTTTTAATAATTTATATAGATTTATATAGTGCACTTATCCGAAGGCCCGTTCAAGGCACCTTCACACACGCAAATAGTCAAGCTCCAATCATAGTGAAATAACTACTGAAGTATAGGCCTAGATGAGATTTAAGTTCTCTCTTGAAGATGTCAATTAAAGGAGTTGTTTGACGGAATGTGGCAGGGAGAAAAGGAAAGTTCAAAAACGCCATGCGTACACCCCAAGCGGCTGTCGTTTGGGGGACAAAATCGCGCACGGATGAAATTGGGCGCCCCTCCCTTGTACCATTCTGACATTCAGCCCTCTTTCTCACTCGCCCTGGCTACGCCACTGCCCATACTTACCCCGTCATGTCGTCGGTATCATCAGGTTTAGATGACTTTGATTTCCGTTTCTTTTTGGCGTTCTTTCTCTTGTTTCTCTAACTTCCCATTTCCCTCCCCGGTTCGTTTTCCACTGGTTCCGCCTTGGGTCCTTCGGCTCCTCTCGGATCTTCACTCCAGGCTCCGTTATCTATTGTTTGAGCTCGATTTTTCCACTCTTTAGCATGCCCAAAAATGCTTCAATCTACAATAACGTTGCCTTCATAGGTTAATTTGTGAGAATTCAGTTCACCAATTTAGAACAAGCAAACCGGAACTGTACACATATCTCGGCTGCTTTACGACAGCTATTCCGAAATTGCACACTCAAAGGAATTCCCCGTAATGTAATCGATTCTTTGTAATTGGAAAACAATCTAGTATTTTTTTTTTCAAAGAGGGTGTTACTCTTTAAGACTTTAAAGCAACTCCATCAGCTGAAATTTTTTTTGCGGGAGACTAGTTCAAACACTGTAATGTTGTTTTTTTCTACAGACACGTAAACATAATTTAACAAGTATCTTGGTATATTTATGAAGAATCGATACCGAGTTCTCGGTACCGAGGTTTTTTTTTATACACCTGATGATGTCATCAATTGAAAATAGAACTGTGGACCTTGAACGTTTCAGTTTGATCAAAGGTTATCATACTAAGGACTTGAGATATTAACCAGAGGGAAGTATTTTCACGGTGAACCAATTTCCTGATTCGGGGCCGGGGAATTTTGGTCGTTCAAACTCCAAATGAGTTAACGTACGGAGAGGACGGACGGACAGACAGACGGACGGAGGTCTTGATCATTGCTTTGGGCATAATGTTATACTCACTATAATTAGTGCTCAGTGGAACTGCTGCATACATGACAATGGCAAAGGTCGCAGCCAAGTACACGTATCTATAAGTTCAATCACAGTACATCGGCGCAATGACGTGATTCACATGTCGCATGACTTTCAGTGCGTGTACGCAAAAAAGAGGGGACTATAGGCTTTAGAAACATTCGTATTTTAAAATTTAACTTCAAATAATAATAAGATTATCTGTAAATTTGCTCACTGCTAGTAAACTCTATTGTTTTAAATGCCAATGCCATCAACAATTATAGAAAGGCTGCTAAACTCCCTCGTCGCAAAGGAAAATGTTATATCGTTCAAGATATGCCCCGATTTTCATTAACTGGAATAATAATTTGGAAACAATTTTGCAACTTAATTAAGTCATCAGTCCTTTCTTCACCCACCAGAATCTCAAGGTTTCAAGACAAAAACGGTATAGAATATACAGAATACTGTGCGTTACATCAAAACTCACCCAAGTCCCGAATATTGTTATCGAACAAAATCAAATTTAAGTTTGATTTTTGAATGGACAATTGAGTCCACTGTTTATCTTTAGGGGGGGACATGGAGGGGAACATGTCCCCCCCCCCTCCCACGGGATCGCCACCCTTAATTGTAATGTGTGACGAAAGTATTATGCTCTGTGATCCTACTTCTACATCTGGCAAGGATGTCAATAAAAAACGGTTGTAAGTTGGATCAATGCCTTTGATGGATGGGTTCATAAAACCAAGGAAACGTTAGATAAATGTTGAAGATATTTTAAAAATAGAAGAGTGTATCCGACAGATCGTTGTATTAAAATGTAACAACTCACGTTATCTCCATGAAAGCAATTATAACGTATGTTACAAAGTACGCCATACCAAAGTTGTTCTGAATATCTAACATGTGTATGTCTCCAAAATGTTTAGCAGGTATTAAACCAAATCTGTAATAAGAACTTTATTTTCGGATTTTCATGAAAATCATTCATGCCAATATACTAGGATTGACCGGTGCATGCCCGTATAGACAAAATTGCGTTACTGCGGAGTTAGAGAGCAATGATTGTGTATTGCAAGGGTAGGCATGAGTAATCGTTTTGTGCATTCAAAATGACAAAGAACGTACCCTCCTGATATACCTGTAAGGCATAAGACCTATGTACGTATTAGGCAGAAACGAGATGTGGTGTGTGCTGTTATACTTAGGCGGGGCTGAGATGCGGACAGAGAGTAGACACGAAGTAGGTTGATTACTTGTGTTCTGCGTTTGTGCAATGCTTATGCGCGGTTTGCACAAAGTCGTATGAGCAATATGAGGTTACGCTGGCATGCATAGCTGGTGTGTTGCAAGTACTAGGCTGTACATAGCGTTACGTTTCTAACGCTGGTTTGCAAAGCTGTTACGATATGTACATGCTTATGCTGTTGTACACTGCTGTACATTGCTGATGTTGTGCATTGCTGATGCTGGTGCGTATTACTCATATTGTTGTACATTGCTTACATTATTGTGCACAGACCTTTATCGGGGTACGCCATCTTGGAAAAACAAAGCGAGACATAACCCAAACAAAAATGGCGGCGTAATAGTACGTGCGGTTGACAAGCGACTCTCGCAAGCTACAGCCGATTGACGTTCTTAATAACTTTGCGAGAGTCAATCGTTCACCTCACACACTATTTACACAGCCATGTTTGTTTGCGTTTATGCCTCGCTATGATTCCGCGTACCCTGATATTGCAGACAGTTGTGTTGCCAAGACGACTTTGTTGCAGGTTTACTGTGTTATAAGCATGCGGAGAGTGTGAAATCATTAACAGAGAATTAAACGCGGTGTATTTCCTCCAAATGGACCTGCACCCTTAGCCTTGAGGTCAGTCTGAGAGGTGTCTCCTCTAGGGACATGGACCATGTTCTGTAGATGGCATTGATTAGTCTTGGCCCAAGACGCTAGTGATCGATAGTAGATGGTGCATATCTAGAGGCATGATTAGACCAGCGCGCCTGCTTGCACTCACCTCTTGGGAAACATGAAGTGTTTGTCACCAAACTTCTCTCCAGTACATATCATGTAACTGTTGATTTTTAGACTACATTTTCCAGGATCTTTACGTTTTTAACCGATCCTTCAGATCAAAGATGACACCACCACGTATGCATCTACCTGGTGACGTGCTTCGTCCGTCATGTCGCAGCGTAATGTTCTGGCTGTTGACCTTACACGCTTCACTCGTTCCCACAAATCAACAAACTGGTTCGTATTTATGTATTTCTTGGTCATCTAATACCACATAAGTAAATTTGAGTGACAGCATGACTTTGGGGTTAAGGAGTCCTTTTTCATTATATACATGTATTTCTTAAAAATACATTTTACTATATTAAAAATTAAAGTTATCACATATTTTGCTTTACTTTTTAAATACATAGAATACATACATCATGTAATCTGATTGATAAGATTATTGACCTTTGTTGCATGGTCAAGTGTCTTTTGTTAACTATCATCTCGATACTTAGAAAATATCAGATGACAATTTTAATTGTCAAAGACCTGTTGACGATATGCTTTGTCAGCTACCCAAACGGTTTCATTATTGTTGAAAAGTTTACTTGGTTAAAAGATAGTAATGCCAATAAAATCCATATGAAATCATTCTTTCTGACGGAAGACCATTTCCAAAGATGCGTTAAGTGACGCATCGTATATTACACGTATATTATTCGTCGGTTCAGTGCGTGAAGTCACGTAGCTGCAATCGGCTGAATGAGTAGCCTACGTGTCACGAACGCTGATTTCACGGGCAATTCAAAACGTGACTTGACAAATTTGAATGAAAAACGACATCCAACAATTTTGGTTTTCTCGGAATATACAAAATTTGCGGAGCAAAAACTTCATCGGAATAGTTGTCAAGCACCCGTTTATAGATTTTGAACACTTTTGTTGCTTCAAACGAAAAAAAATGCACAAATAACAAATGATCTACACTGAACTCATAATAGTATACATTCAAGAGCTGTGCTATTTACATAATTAAGTTATGTTTTCATTTTCCCCCAGTTCCTGGCTATTTGGGATGTTTTGGTGACAATCGAGTTCGCGCCCTATCGGTTGGTCCAGGAATAGAACGCACTCACCAGTCAGTAGAGTGGTGCTTCAGAAACTGTTTGGAACCTACCGAGTATAAATACGCCGGATTGGAATACGCAAACGAATGCTTCTGTGAGAATAACGAAGTCTACGATAAACACGGGAAAAAACCGGAGTCCGATTGTCAAGATAGATGCACCGGAAACAGCGACCAGATCTGTGGAGACAGTTGGCGCATATCTGTGTACAGAAGTGAGTACAGAACCAATGGATTGACAGAATAGATTTGTCCTTGTTTTATAATCCTAAACAGATTGTTCTATTTTTGGTGTCCAAACAAAACAAGACCTGCATTACTACTTGTTGGACTACTGCAGCTTTTTGTATAGGCTGACGCTTATGTTAGTTTTAGTTCAGCTTCTGGGATGCCTACTAAAATGCCAAAAAGTGACATAAATTTGAGTCCCTCATTGTCTAGACATCAATCAAAAATTTGACTTACATTTGACGCTATCGTAGTTCGGTTGCCGTAAATGAAATAACAGACACCAATAGTAATTTAATGCCACCTAATTTATTTATTTATTTATTTATTACATTTCAATAGCCAGAGTAATTAACCCAAACAGTTCAAAACCGGTTTCCATTGGAGTCCTGCATACAATAAAGTATGACTACAAACATGTAAAAATACAATACATTACAAATGCAATAAATTACAAATACAATTCAATACAATGGGATAAAAGCATTATTGGATTAATGCATAATCGAAACCACGAACTCCCAAATAAAACGCAAAGAAATGCCTTCACTCGTACCCACCGCCCAAATATGGGCGCTGGGAAGGGCTAATCTATTTCACAAACAGTTGTGAAGGAAACACAGGCGTTGCAAAGCATTGTGGGTAGCTTGCTACCTTAATCGATGGACGTACATTCAGCGCGCACGTATCACGCGCATAAGCAAGTGTTGAAAAACGTGTTATTTTTCCAACACATTCTATACAGTGAGGGCTCAAAGCAATTACGTCATGCATCCTCAAGAAACTAGCCCTACCCAGCACCCTGTTTGGGCGGTGGGTCGAGTGAATGAAATACCATGCATATATCACTTTGCTCTGTGCTAGCCCTAATTTAATTTCAATATTCAGTGTACATCAACACTCTGTATTTAACGCTTCAGTTTTAGACGGAGTATGCAGTAACGACATAGGACCACCCACCAACGGAGACAACGCCATCTCCAACCTGCGTTCACTGTCTTACAATCTCAACAATTTCAAGTTCTTCGGGACTCGTGTAGATTTCTCCTGTGACCCTGGATATACCCTCCATGGAGCATCAAGTATTGAATGTATTGAGACTGACTACAACAACGTCACGTGGAGTGACTTAGTACCAACATGTGAAGGTTGGTTAGATTGCATGCATTACAGTAAGCACTGTCTACTTTGTTATTCTCAGCGAAAGGCAAGGAGGAGGCGACTAACGACGTTTAAGACTCATTATGAATAGAAAGAATAAAAGAAGGAAGTATAACGTCGTCATGAGTCATTACTTGAACATTGCATTTTCTAAAAACAAAATCAAGGGTAAAGGTTATACCATGCACATGAATGTCCTCAATTATATATACATTAGTAAAATGATCACCACGGTATTCTCTTTCGGGTCAACGACACTTGTGTCATCAATTGCAGAACCCCAAAGTAGGACAACAGCAGTCGTGTCATCCACAGCGCTGCCCCAAAGTGGGACAACGACGGTCGTATCATCCACTGTAGCATCCCAAGGTCGGACTTCTGTGGCTGACATCATCATGTCAAATGACGTTGGAAGTAGCAAGCCCAATATTAGGTCTGAGATAACAGCGGCTAAAGTGACTGCAGGGGTATCTAGCAGCAACGGTAGGTCAGTGACTGTTATCAACACTTCATTGTGTCTGAGGTTTGAGTTCCAAACCGAGGCTTCGTCTCCAGCTTTGGCTCAATGAGATTAGACTCACTACAAAGCTCAATAAGGGCCCGTGTTTGTTTCAGAAACATCACACTGTGTACTGTACCTGTAATATATTTCCAATTGCTTTGAACATAAACGGTTTCAGAAAGATTCTGAAGCCATAATATAGCTTGGAAGGCGCCAGCAACAATGTTTGCCAAAAATGGATCCAAATGCTCATTGAAATTTCATTACGAAAATAGCAAGATTACGATGTTGTTTTGTGCAGAACCGTGGGATATTGGAGTCATAGTTGTACCGTTGGTGGCGGGCTTCATCGTTCTATTTGCAGCTCTTGGCCTGTTTGTAGTTTGTATGCGACGGCGTAAAAAGCGAGAGTTAGTGAATCGCCACCAGCTTGTTAGAAACGACAGGTGAGACACAGTAATCGACATACACAATTTATTTCTTAAAGGTACATTACGGCCTAAAATGCGCCCCAAGCTACAAAACACGTTTTAAAAGAAATGATATTAAATGCAAAGAATATTTAAAAGTAGAATATAAACGTCCACACCAAGCATACTGAAATTTGTGTCTTTGTGGGGTCATTTCTTTGTTTTCGTGTACTAAAGTTTTTGAGTTTGAAAGTGAACTTACAAAATGCTCATATTTTAACTAGAATTAATTTCCTGGGCCGAAATTCGGACTAAAAATATCCCTTACATAAATTACTTCTATTTGCGTCGAATCAACACACCTTGAAAATTCCTAGTTATTTAATTGAAATCTATTTCCTGATAACCTTGTGGAGACAAGGTTAATTCACCTATAGAAATTGCTCTGTGGAGACGTGTACAGTCTTTTGTTCCCTATTGTGCACATGTCTCCAGAGGGCACCGTGCACCAGATCAATGAATAGACACGACTTGAACTAGCAATGCTTATGCCACAAAATGTACGCCGCGTCCGATGTAAACAAGCGGATTTTTTTTCTTTTGTCTTAGCTCGGGAACGTGATAAGACATTAGGTTTGTTTTCTTTCGACCCGACCTTAGAAATAGTTTTAGTTAACAATCCAAAACACGTTATCTTGGAGGAAATTCAGGCCGTAATGCCCTTTTAAAGGAAAGTGCGATCATATGCATTTATCTCCCCCCCCAAAAAAAAAAATGATAGAATTTTTTATCAAAAAGCTTACTTGGATCATGGAGATATGAAGGGAAGGAGTCAGTACTCTTGGTCGATGTACATTTTGACAGTTAACATTCCAATCCCTAGGGAATGTCCATAGCTACAGCACTTTGACCGCAAGCCTCGACCATTCAAAGCGCGAATGCAAGCGGCCTTTGAACACGATGATCGCCCAATAGTTGAACGTTGGTCGAATAGTTAACCCTTTTTGCCCAATTTTCTTTACAGTGTACATGCTGCGTAATACGTCATGTCACGTCGTTGTTCTTTTTTGAAAGAAACATATTTAACGACAAGACTGGGCCCGATTTCACGGCGTTGCTAAGCACACAATTTTCTGCTAACAGAGTCTTCGTCTATTTCATGGAGACCGTAAGCATAAGCACAACAAAAGGCACGCTTACTTCAGAGGAAAAAATTGCTTAACTTAGTGACGTAACAATAGAAATCTCCAAGCACGCACGACCGTTAGCACGTCCAAGGTTAGCAAATTTTTGTGCTATGCTAAACACAACTTTTCTGCTAACTGTTAAGCAGCGCCGTGAAATTGGGCCCAGGTTTTAACAAATGCACAGTTGTTTATAGATGTGAGTTGTGAAGAGTTATGTGAGTTAATATTGATGTGCAGTTGTTGGTCCTTGAAACCGCTATCTGTTCCTGTGATTGGAGATAAATTGATATTTGTTCCAATAAGTTGTCATGTCTTTTCGGCAATTTTAATTGGCAATACATCATTAATGAAATGTAATATTTTGGGAAGTTTCACAAGTTTTCATACTGAAGGTAAAGAGCATTTTGTTCGACATGAAATGGTTGTTTTAGTGATACTGACCACATTGTTAGCCAGTATTAGCCAACTCTGAACAAACACTTTCAAAATCATTATGGCGATGTGTGGTGCTATCCACAAAGCAAAGCAAATTCTTTCTTCTAGCATTAGTGATTACAGATATACACAGATAACACTTTTCAGTACTAGACTTCTAACTCCTTCCGCTCATATTTCCATGCTTGGATTAATTCTGGTACTACTAAACACCCGGTAAAATTATTCCGTCTGGCTTGCTGTCATTTAGAAGGAAAAAACAAGTCTGAGAAAAACTAAAAGACTCATGGTTGCGGCAGAACTCCATTCCATCTAACTTAACATGTAGTGGCGAAATGTAGGATTACGCCCTTTCCCGGTAAACACAAAAACAAAACCAGACTTTGTTTCCAAATATCAGTTGGAAACAAAGTCTTGAAAGATGCAATGGACAACGCATTTTATGTTGTTATAAAACTCTAGACAAACCCTTCATAACCATGTAGCTAAGTTGGAAACATCGGGTCCTGCAAACATTAAACTGTTTGTTGTTTTTCCCCTTAGCAGTCCCAGGCCCCCAAACCCTCATTCGCAACAACTGCCTCCAGAAGACCAGGCTGTAGTTTGTACAATACAGACAGATGATCAACTCGATGGTGAGTCACGAAAAGATGAGTAATGAGACGGCCCCCAAATGATAAGCTTCTGCTGGATTGGTTACTTTTATTGAATATGGTTTTAAATAAATAATAAATAAAAAGTTTACAAAATCTTTGAATAATAATAAAAGCAGTCAGGAACCCACGCAAAGAGTCGATTCGTAATAATAGATCGCCAAAGTTCGAGTCAAATCACAAGCCAATAGTATGTTAATTACAAGTCAATCACAGACCAATCTGAAGTCAATCATAACTAAAGCAAAGTCAATCGGAAGGCAATCACCGACGATCCGAGGTAAATTACAAGTCAAACGCAAGACAATCATAATTCAAATTGAGGTAATCACATAATCAAATCACTGACATGTCAAAACATAGTTTACCGGTGGTGAAAAATGACCAGTTCGTGGCTTCTTCCCAATTTATTTGAGTAGATTGTCACTTGATTTTAGACGAATGGCTAGGAATTGACGATAATTTGATATGTCTCTTTATTGGCGTGTCTAGTTATTGAATTATGACAACAATGACCGCTGATTACTTACGATGATTTACGATGACTTGTGATTGATTGACATGAAATTGGCATGAGATTGTCTACTACTATTTACTTTGTTTATTGCAGTCCATCAAGTCTGATTTCGAAAGAAGAAGTAGTATCCATGTTCCATACACATATTTATTTGTGTACATCTGCTTGATTTCAACCAGATATTCCATTGGGTGCACTGGCCACAACGACAGCGAATGATTACACCCCTGGACACGAGATCCAAGCTGCGCATGCGGCCTACGGCAATGTAGGCCCCAATCTCTCTTTCACACGATATCTCTTAGAAATCCAGAAAGAGATTGGACGAGGTGCCTTTGGGAGAGTGCTGCTGGGGACCGCACTTGGGATCAAGGAAGTTGACAAACGAACAGAGGTTGCAATCAAAACAATCAAAGGTAAACCCCGTATAGGGCTGGCGATCTTTAGCAGTGCAAGCAATGCCAACATTTGGCCCTTTGAGATGTGGCGGCCATAGGAGGGCGCAATTCCGTTTTGGTAATGTTTTATTCATCCGAGTACCCTCGTATTGTGATCTCAAAATGTCTAATAACAACTTATTAATTACCCAAAAATTAACAGAAAATTCAAATTTGCATCGGCAAATCTTCATCAACTATAACAAATAAGCGATTGAACCAAAATGCTTCTTAAAACGGCGACTCCATTAAACATATTATTATTCCCACGTCAGTACATTGTTGGATATTAATGAAAATATGGGTTCACACCTTTAAATATATAGGCCTCAACCCATCCGCCGAGCTCATGAGTAAGATTATAGCCTCAAAATATTCTATATAAGAAAGCTCTGAGAGCCATAAAATGCGGAATTGAAGAAATATGGCAATGAACCTTTGGCCCAGACTAGGGCCTTCCGATTCTGAGCATTTTGGATGCAATTGAGCTCGAAAGTGGCGCTGTATTTTCATGTTGTGGAGGGATCGTTTTTCAAGATGGCTACTTTTCCGCTTTGGAAAAAATAGGAGTCGTCTTCTTTGGGTGAGAATTTTTCAAAAAGTCAATGGTCAACCCACCAAAAATTGAAAGAAAATCAAAGATGACACATTGATCGTTAGTTTTCTGTGCAATTTAAATACCTGTGAGCGTTCTGAGTATTTTTAAAAGAATTTATATGTATGGGCATTTAGCACTAGTGTCTATGGGAATTTTAATACACTGTTGCACCCTATCAGAATGACAAACAAGGCCTCTTTGCGCAAGCGCTTCGCCGCGGCAGTGTTTTTTCTTCAGTGGGCGGAACCTATGGGGGGGGGGGCAAAAGTATTTTAAAGAAATCAACAAGGGCTGTTCCGCAACATATGATCCCAAATCGTAAGGGAGCCGTAGGCCATCAGCCAATTACAACAACTGCGAGTTGAAAAAGAGGAGGGGGGCGAGGGGGGAGGGGTATTTTGAGCTTCAAAGTGGCTGAAACTCAATTTACTGTCGTTGGGGGCGCTCCAGCTAGCAGGCGCACAAAAACACGGCACTTTTTTAGGCCTAATTTCGACCTCGGACAATTGTTTTTCTTTAAATTTTTTGATGGAATATGAGTAACTGATCCTTTAACTTGCCGTAATAGTGGTTTGGGAAACAATACAAAACTGTCGACCCGTTCAAAAGGTGCACACCTGTAAATAGGCCTAAACCCATCCGCCGAGCTCAAGAATAAAAGTAATACCCTCAAAATATTCTATATTAGAGAGTTCTTAGAGCCATACAATTGCGGAATTTAAGAAATATGGCAATGAACCTCTTGCCCGGACTTGGGCCTTCCAATTCTGAGCTTTTTGGATGCAATTGAGCTTGAAGGTGGCGCTATATTTTCATGTTGGGGAGGGAATGTTTTTCAAGATGGCTACTTTTCCGCTTTGGGAAAAATAGGGGTCATCTTCTTTGGGTGAGATTTTTTTCGAAAACTCAATGGTCAACCCACCAAAAAATGAAGAAAATTGAAGATGACACATTGATCATCATTTTTTCTGTGTAGCTTAAACACCATGGTGTAAAATATCCTGGAAATCATTCAAATTGGAAAAGGATATTTTTAAATTTTAAAACACATCATAAATTTATCATCAAGATATTATTGATATGTATTCGCAGATTTTCACTTTTATATTTATAAGTACGCTTTTGCCCGGTGTATTGCACTGGGGATATTTGTGACCGAACTCAAAAGATTTCGTCACAATTTTTGTAGCTAAAATAAGTATATAATAGTATGCCTTTTTTGTCCGGTCATCATTTTTACCCAAATAACATATATTAAGAATTCAACCTGAGCTATTTATCAAAACAAAGGGCTGAAAGGCTCAGTGTAATGTATGCGGGGAAAAAATCAAACATTGTTGAAATATATTCAAATGCTCTTGTCGTGGGATCCGGCTAACATTTTGATTTTGAGTGTGGTTGCCTGTAATTTTGTTTATTTAATTAAAGATCCCATCTATCTCATCGTGGAGTACCTGGGTAAGGGCGACCTCAAGAAAGTTCTGATGGGATACAGAATCACAGATACTGGGACCGGCTACGGTAACATTTCTGGGCCGAGTCAATCACTCTCGTTGACCTTGGTCAAATTCGCCAGGGACGTAGCCAATGGAATGGCATTTTTGGATTCGCAAAAGGTAGGAGTCTTGGTGCTAGACCTTATTAAGTAAATAAAATTATTAACACATTCTGATCTGAGCGAGTGAAGGCGCTTATAAGAGGAACGCAAATTTGGGAATACTGATGGTCGAAATATCACGTTTATTGAAGCAATTTGTAGAAATTTGTAATACTCCAATTTTAGAAATAATGTAACAAATTAGACATGACAACCTTTGTGACGTACCATCATTCGCTGAACCATCTGGCTTGATGACGTTGGTATTAACGAAGACTGAAGATCAGAAAATAGGCCCAACATTGCTTGCGTCGATCAAATCACCAGTGATATACCCTCAGTTTTCCTTCTTGGAGGTTTTGTGGCCTTGCAAGTAAGAGGAAGATTTTCAAAATAGCATTGGACTTCAGGAAAAAATGTATTAGACGGTAATCTTTGGAGAGAAAACTTACCGCAAAGTTTTAGGAAAACCGCACAAAAATTGAATACAAAATAAGGGATGATTATTTAAACTTTCATTTTGTATATGTCTTCAGCACTGTAGACTTTTTTTTACCGGTCTTTGTTTATCTGAAATTTCGTTCCGTAAAATGCCCTATTCCCAATTCAAAACGTAGGATTTACAGTTTTTCCTATCGGTTAGACACTTCAAAACCTTTTAGAAAAAATGACCAGTTAATACACCAAAAATTACACCAAGTAGCAAAAAAAAGGCCCCTGTATTATTTGTTATTACAATCCACAATCCACAATTCCCCAAATCCTTCTGACTTTGCAGTGCATCCACCGAGACCTGGCCGCCCGTAACGTACTGGTTGGTGAAGACATGGTCTGCAAGGTGTCTGACTTTGGACTCGCTCGTGACGTCATGAATATCAGAGTCTACCAGCGAGAATCCCAGGTATCGCTTGTTTTTCTTGAATTGTAAACCTATCGATCTATCAACACAACACACAGAAACCATTGGTATGGGTACTCAGTGCTTACGTTCTTAGTGTCAGTGAAGGCAAAACCAACCATTCAAATATTCACCGGTGTTAAAAAGCTGGCTATGGTTTGCCTGACAGGGTCCACTACCCATGCGGTGGATGGCGCTGGAGTCCTTAATTGATGACGTGTACACAATTAAGAGTGACGTATGGTCTTTTGGGATTCTGATGTGGGAGATCGTAACGCTTGGTAAGATTACTATTCAGACTTGAACTATATTTACATAATTATTCCTTACTATACAGATGTACCATTGAAGAGGTAATCCGAACTTGATGTCTTTTAACTGGATATGTTCAAAGACAAAAAGATTATTCTCACAGATAAATATAGATAAACGCTGCCGATTTAAATTTAACAATTTTGACAGGTGCCCGGCCATACCCACATATTATGACTACAAAAGCTCTGGTGAACCAGTTGAACAAAGGCTACCGCATGTCCAGACCAAAAAACTGCAAGAAACAACTGTAAGTATTAATGAACGTTAGTATACCGCAGTTACGATAAGAAAATAGCATAACAAACCATTCCTGTCACGTTGTGTGCAAACTACAGTGCCAAACTATGTGTGCAAACTTTAGTATAATCTTGTGATGATCAGAAAGATGTGGCATAGACTGGCAACCTTATGTTAGGCCTCCATTCTTTGATCTATCAATCGTTTACTGCATTTCCCCCAGATATTCCATCATGCGGAGTTGCTGGCATGAAAACCCGAGGGCAAGACCAACGTTTCAAGATGTTGTCGAGATTCTGAAGGCGTTGCTTAGTGAAGAAGTGGTAAAGCACATAATAAATACTATTAGCAAATCAAAAGATGCAAAATGATGTTAACTGGAGAACCAACATGTATAATTCAGAAATTTTGATATTGGTTTTTCATTTACTTTTTTATAAACAGGCGTGCATAACTGTGGAAAACATTGACGAAAGCATCTACGCGGTCATAGGAATAATGGAGGACAACGAGAAAGTCTGAAACACGAAACGGAAGGATGTGGATGATATTCTGAGAACTACAATCAAGTTAAAAGCGCTACATAAGGATATGGTCTCTGCCTACTTCGTGTGCAGAGATCTTCAATTAAATATTTATCAAAAAATTACGTTGAACCCCGCCCCCCCCCCCCCAAAAGGAAATTTTCTTGAAGACAAAACATGTATTATAATAGTAAAGACTACATGTAGGAGAAAATTTCCTCTTTGAGCGCCAAAATTCCAAAATGGCGTCTTTCATCTAGGAAATGAGTTTCATAAGATGCTAAATAAGTAAAATGAATGCACATCGCATCGCACAGATCAGAAGAAGTGGCCTTGGCACATTTTAAGATGCATGTAAACTTGTAAAGCCTGATTCTGAGGGATGGGGGATATAAACTTTAATAATTTAGCCTTTTCATATCAAGACACGCAATAAGCAAGTTCGGTGTTCTGCATGTTTACATCAAGATTTCGGGATAAACATTTCATCGTGTGCGTGCAAAAGCATAGCGGGGTACAAACACAATTAAAGAGATCGTCGTGTTCTGAAGTAACGTTTTGCTTAAAAAAACGTCTGGACAGCGAAGTGTTTTGGGGTGTCTTGTGAGTCCAAACGAAAGTTTCCATCTCTTTTCGATTGCACGAAAAATAACACAGAATGCAGATTCTGTTACCACGTCCCCTGGGTTATTGCTCTTGCTTTGACATTATGAATTTAACCATTACCTGTACGCATAACGAAGAAGGAAGGCGCGAATGCTCAATAATGTAATTCGCCAAACTATTGGTTTATGTACTTCGTAATTATGAAGTGTGTACATAGATATATTACAAGAGTTTAAGAATCACTAAGAGGTGTATCCAGCTTTTTGCGTGAGTGCATCTTATAAATAAATGTTGCAAATATATTTATACTCATCTCTTAACCAGATTGACATACAAAAATACATAACCATCCAATCATTTAAATGTGTAACTTATTGCTTAACTAGATTAATAAATCATATTAGGTTTTGCCTTTCACCGACTGTATACTCAGTGTGTCAATCTTATAATAGATTAATAAAGTGAAACGTTCTGCTAAACAACTTGATACTTGTAACATTATGCTTAACTAGATTGATATAGTCTACCATTATTGCTTAATTACTAAAGTTATATAGTGAAACCTATATTGCTACTGTGTAGCGTTTAGCTTAACCTCGTTGATGCTGAGTAACGTTCTAACTAAGGTGATATTGCCTGCCATCTTAAAGCGATGTAATGCTTTCTTGGGTTGATTTTGGGTGCCCTTCTGCTGAACCATAGATTAAGTCATGGGCGAAAATCCCGGGGGGGACAGGGGGGACACGTCCCCCCCCCCATAAATTTGGTAAGGGGGGACACAATGTCGAATGTCCCCTCCATGTTTTCATGTGTAGGTATGGGTGGGTGACCAACCATGGCAGAGTCTTAGGGAAAAGCCTCTTTGATAAGTCGCTAGTTTAGTTGTGGCTGAGAACCAATTTGGTTTTCTTGTCGGTTCGACCCACTGATCTCTATATAAAGACTGGATAGCTAATAAAGAGCCGCACAATGTACGAATTTGACGCCATATTGGTGAGACCGGCTGGTGATCTACAAAGGACAAGTTGCCGTCTTTATAGACAGCATGATTTCTTTTGTAACGTCGCGGCTCACTTGGCTTATATTTTGGCCACCACCACTGACCAACTGACCAAGGTTTACTACAATTTTTCTAACGTAGTGGTTACTTTTATAATGCCGCAAATCACTTTTTCGGCGTTTTTGAAAAAATAATCACTACGGAAATGTGTTCCTTTTAGAACATCATAATATGTGTACGTGACCAAAATGCGCGTCAACTGTTGATACAACGCGCGCGTATTTACGCGTAGAACGTTCGTATTATGCGCGGCCATCTTCGTGAGACCGGGGGCGAATTGGTCAATATGCAAAGTCTACTGTGTGAATGTTGTATGCATATCCGCTATCCAGTCTTTATATAGAGATCAGTGGTTCGACCACGCGGCTCTTGTACGCCTAGCCTACCCACGTACATGTACTGTACGTGCGTGTTGGTTCATGCGGTATACGTTATACACAATGTTGCCTGCGTACGTCATATAATTTGCTACTCCTATTTCGGCCCCACTCCGGCCCGCAATCGCTATGGTAGACTTGATGACAAGTAGTTAGACTATAGTGGTTTATGTCCGTCATCGATCAGCGCCAAAATCCGCATACCACCGCCGTTCATGCAACGTCAGCGCTACAACCATTCATGCAAAATCATGTACTAACGCGCGGCATGGTCAGTCTGTGTCTAATTCGGACTTGACTAAGACGTTTTCAAGCGAATATTCAAATATGCAGCCACTGCAATGCATATGCATGATGTTTCCATAGCGAGGGCCAATAGTAGCCCATCTGGCTTACGAAGAAACACCATTATTAATATGGGGTTAATTATTACACGATCATTTTCAAGTTTCCATTTTATTTGGCAGTCCTGTTTACAGTAAAAAAGCGTATAACATTGTAGATAATATTAGTACTTTTGCAACTGTCTTTGAATAAAAGGAGTAATATTTAAGTAATTATGGAAGTTGAAACTGTTACGAATAATTGTAAATCCCTTCAGAAAATGAAGTGCGCGTCGACTGTAAACGTAAGCTCCTTTTGGCCCATATGGTTTGTTGTAGTTTAACTAATCACCCTGAAAACGAACTCGTCCGCGGTTTGTGCCCATTTTTAAGGTTACAGAACCGCAATGACAACATGCCCGATGCACACAATGAGGTTTAGAAATATACTGTTGCATTATCAAGGGGGCCATGACCCCCCCCCCCCCAAAAAAAAAACACGAAACAATTTTTTTTGTATGTGACATCGCAATAAAGGCAGGCAATGAGTACACCCCCATCTTTATTTTAAAAAAAAATTGGTAAAAGTGGTCAGAAATTGCCTCAGATCGCACCACAGAGCATCTAGAATCCAAATTTTTTTTCGGGGCCCTTAAGCGGGCCCCGAAACCCCACGCCGTAATTTTTTGGACCCACTTTTTGGGGGGCCCAAACTTTTTTTTGGCCCCCCTAAAAAAGTTGTGTTCTGGATCCGCCCTTGCGGCGGACGCGATTAAATTTAAAACTCATTACAGACTTGATTTCAAGTCTCTCGCTATGGCTGCCATACCCCATGGCAATATTACGAGTGGAAAGTTGTCCGTTCAGCAGTGGCGTAGCCACCGGGGGGGGGGGGGGCGTGGGGGGACCGCCCTCATGAAACCTTGTCGCCCCCCCTAGTCGCCCCCCCCCCCCAACTGAGATTTTGAGTTTCTAAAAAAAATATCATTGATCTACATGACGCCATAGGCGTCAATCCTGGGGGGGGGGACAGGGGACATGTCCTTCCACACCTTTTGAAGAGTGGGGGACACAATATCAAATGTCCCATCCCCCCATTTTTGAACTCGTGTCTCATTTACAGGGCCCTATTATGTACTACGATGCATCTTTTGCTTAAAAAATATTGGTTAAAGCGGTCAGAAATTGCCTCAGATAGCACCACAGAGCATTTAGAATCCAAAATTTTTCGGGGCCCTTAAGCGGGCTCCGAACCCCACGCCTATAGCTCAGAATTCTGGTAGCTGATTCAATGACTCCAACCTCGAAAACAATGTTCACAAAATTTTCTTATGCCTTTAGCTGAGAAAACCTCGAAAATTATGTTTAAATTATTATCTTTTGTGCTAAGATAATTATTGGTTAAAGTGGTAAGAAATTGCCTCAGATCACACCACAGAGCATCGAAAATCCATTTTTTTTTCGGGGCCCATAAGCGGGCCCCGAACCCCACGCCAATAGCTAAGAATACCGATAGCTGATTCAATGTCTCCAACCTCGAAAACGATGTTCAAATAATTGTCTTTTGCCAAGAAAATATTAGTTAAAGCATGGAAGAAAATCGTAAGAAATTGCTTCAAGTCACACCACAGAACATGTAGAATCCAATTTTTGTTCGGGGCCCTTAAGCGGGCCCCGAACCCCACGCCGTAAGGGCTTCGCGCTTCGCGCTTGCATCAGTTATGATCAAGGTATGCCCCCCCCCCACTTTTGAGAAGCGATTGACGCCCCTGCTTGACCCCCCCAATGAAATGTTCCAGCCCCCCCCACCAGCGCTTCGCGCTTGCATCACTTATGATCAAGGTATGCCCCCCCCACTTTTGAGAAGCGATTGACGCCCCTGCTTGACCCCCCCAATGAAATGTTCCAGCCCCCCCCCACCAGCCCCCCCCCCCCCCCCCCCCACTACTGAAAAAATCCTGGCTACGCCATTGCCGTTCAGCCTGTGACTTTTTGTGAGTAATATAATTTCGGGGAGAAAAAAAAACCTGTCCCCCCCACGTTCAAGGAGCGATTTCCGCCCTTGGATTAAGTGGTGATTATATAGCTTTACCATCTAGTAAATCGAAGTTAATTGCAAGATATAACTTTGACGGCAAAAAGTAAGTCACTTTCATACGTGTACTTGATCAGTAACGTTTCTTACTCAGACAATGAAAGACAGTGATATGCGGCGAAATGTCCACACTTTGAAAACAATTCTAAGAAGGTTTCAAAACCCAGATAAATTACCATAAGGCCCTAATCAGTCATACTATTCCTTTCCACAATGCAGTTACGGATTATTTGGACGGATTATTAAAGACTCTGTTTTATCACATTCTGTCTACGATCATTATATGTCAAATCTGCATGGAACCAGAGCATCCCATTCTTTGATCAATAAGTAAACAATTGGAGAAAAAAAATAGTTAAGATATACATATTAAAATACCATCAAACTGGCCAGCAGTGGATTTTTGTCTTGACGCAACATCAGATTTTTAGTCAAGTCCACACAAGTTTTCCAATGTCAATTCACAGTCATTTTAGTGTCAGGTCAAATCACAGGTAATTCATATGAACTTTGAGAATGGCATTGTCCCCTTTCAAAAGTGAGCTAACCCGCCACCGACTTGTGATGTGAATTGTGAACAACTTGAGATTTTACATATGACTGACTTGTGACCTGACTTATGATGAGCGTATGCTTCGGCTTAGAACGGACTTGTGATATGACTTATGATGGACTTGCGATTTGACTTGTGATGGACTTGTGATTTGATTTATGATGAACGTGTGGTGTGGCTTATAGTGGACTGTGATTTAAATTGTGATTGAACTGTGGTTGGCTTGTGATTTGACTTTAATGATGATCTTGTTTTTTAACTTGTGATTTCACTTGTGATTTCACTTGTGGTTGGCGTGTGTGATTTACCTGATGATGGACTTAACTTGTTTAACTTGTGATTTCATTTGTGATTGACTTGTGATTGCCCTGTGACTAGACTTGTGATAGATTTGTGGTTTTTAGTTTTATGGTTTTCTTTGTGAATTAAGGTTGTAAATGACTCAACCACAACTCTGTTCAACACTCGCTTTCATACGCCGGGTTAGGCGTTCCCAACTCTGCGGTGTTCGGTTTCTCAAAGTAAACAGTGTCACTGGACTTGCTCTGGTGCCTTTTATTCTCCATCGCATCTCGCGAGACACACCAACGCCGCTGTAACTTTCTTTTGGCGGGAATCAATACCGCGCAAAGGACGGAGAGCGAGAAACTGCCCACAAGGACGAAGAGACTGAATGTGTAGTCGCCAGTTAGGTCGTACAACCCGCCTGCAATAGAGATTGAAATACACCAATATTAAGCCAAATAAACATTTTGACAGAACTACTCTCATATCCAAAGGTTATTTGTTTTGTAGGAAAAGGAAGTATATGAAAAAAGAGACAAACATACACCTAGGCCAAAAACAAATAGTTCTGCTTCCGGTTTCGCCACCTACCCTATTCTAACAGCCCCTACCCTAATTTTTCTTTTGGGAAAATGAGGGGGAAAAAACACTCCAAACCATCAATTTCTACCTTTTACCCTTGACAACACGCAGACGCCTCCATATGATCGTACACAAAAAAATGCCAAAATAACCCACAAAAGCCACGCCAATTATTATGCATTAGTTGGATAGTAAAAGCAGTGAAGACATTTTTCTTGTGCTTTTAAATACCTTGTGCTTAGTATTTGCATAAAATCCGGAAGGGTCGTATATTCCTTGACCACGACAGGAGAAAGATCAATGATATGCAATGTGAACTTTGACGCAGTGACACTCTGGGAACCAGACTAGTGAGAAGTACGTGACAAATTGCAACTAGACTTTGGCACAAATAAAACACGTTACGAGCGTTTGCACGTAGCCCAGACTCACCTAAGATCGGGGCGCCGATCAGACTCCCCAGACCGAATCCAAACAAAGCGATTGCAGTAACGACACGAGGACCGTAGCTCCGAAATAACTCGTTGGGAGCTGCCATACACGTACCGTAACATCCTCCTCGACAGAGGCCCCATGCTGGAAAACAAATCAACATAAAGGAAGAGTTACCCCCTTATCCCTCCTCTTTTATGAGTTATTGAGAGGGGGAGGAGCGAGAAAGCACTCTCAAACCCAGCGGGTTTTTTTTCGGAACCAACACCTTACAAAAAATGGCTGTCATCCGCAAACCTAATTATTTGGTTTAAATTCTATTGAATTTTAAATTCAATAGATCAGGTATCTGTCTTTGCGTCCCACCCACTTCACGTTGTCACACTAGGAACTCGTTTGTTGAAAACGCTATCTATCTGTTCAATAGGTGATATTGATATTGATATTACTGTCTGAAGAGCCGTCAATTCGGGAGATTCACAATGCAGTGCGCCACCAAGAGTTTGCCACGGAGAGTTGCAACCCTGCAAAAAAAAATCCCATAGACACAAGTGCTAAATGCGCATACTTCAAAGTTTTTTTTAGAATACTCAGAACTCTCACAGGTATTCAAGCTGCACAAAAAAACTGATGATCAGTGTCTCATCTTTCATTTTCTTTTCATTTTTGGGTGGGTTGACCATTGACTTTTCGAGATATTCTCACCCAAAAAAGACGACCCCTTTTTTCCCCAAAGCGGAAAAGTAGCCATCTTGAAAAACGATCCCTCCACAACATGGCATAATAGCGCCACTTTCGAGCCCAATAGCATCCAAAATGCTCAGAATTGGAAGCCCCAAGTCCGGGCCAGAGATTCATTACCATATCTCTTCAATTCCCCAATTTTATGGCTCTCAAAACTCTCTAATATAGAATATTTTGAAGGTATAACTTTTATTCATGAGCTCGGTGGACGGATTTTTTGCCTATTTACAGGCGTGCACCCTTGTGGAAATCGATCGACAAATTCGTAGCTTGGGACATTTGAAATTGTTCGTTTTTCCGGGCGGTAGTTTCGTAAGCTTATGATTCGAGTATAGTGTTTTTCTTTTCTTTTCTTTTTATCAATATGGTGATTTTTGGTAAGGCGGCAGAACGCTTTGCCCCTATCTAAAACAAATTTGCTCAAGTTGTCTACTGACACTCATCAAATGGACCGTGTTTTGTCGACCGTAAACTTGAAAAATGGACTGTGCGTGGCAAACTGTTGGTGGTGCACTGCATTGTGAATCGCCCGAATTCGTTTTAATTTGTCATTTGTACGATGTTATCTTTTTTGTTATCTTTTTTTTATTGTTGTTTGCTATGTTGATTAACGAATTGAATATGTAATCTATCGTGGTCCTCTCAATTTAACTGTTTTGTATTGGTTTATTTTTAGTGAGTTACAGTGATCTGTGCACATTGTACTATATTGGTTAGTGATTTTATGTAATGTCATTGTTCAGAAATGCCAGTGGAAGCTGAATTTTTATACTTTTTAGTGTGGATAATAGACTTCAATTTGATTGATTTGAAGATAATAAAGAAATGATATTCTAAACGATAAACATACGTAATTGAAAAGAATATAAAGAAAGAGACGTGCAAGGAAAAAATTGAAAGCCAAAGTTGTGAGCGATGTTATTTGTTTATGTATAGATGTAATATTCCGCAAAAGTGTCATGTGCACAGTCAATTAACACAACATAAACCTAAAGAAAACGATTGATTTTATGTCCATTCAAAAACAAAATTGAAAAAAAGCAAGCAAAACGTTACCGACTGATAAGCACATCATCTGCTGAAAAGTTGAACAGAGCGTCAGGAAGGCTGAGACAACAGCGCCACAAAACGAGGACGTCACTGTCACGTACATCTTCAGACAGGGCAAGCGATCTCCAAACATGGCGAAGGCGATTTTGCCGGCTACTTCCGCAGCGCCAAACACCGTTAAAACAAAGGAGATCTGCTCGGTGGATAGCTCGTTCCTCTCCATGAAGCTGGACTGATTTGTGAAGAGAATACCAACATTAATTGACAACTGTCAAAGAAAAAAGTAGCAAGCCGCATTGGAGTTTGTTCAACGGTAAAAAAAAAAAAACAGATACAATGCACACTGCCATGCACAGGAACGCAATTACCTCCTAATGACGCAGACACGAAATCGATGTAGTCTTATAAACACTCTAATGGAACGTTAGTGCTTAGAACACACTGTGGTGATACTGCACCATGTACTGTTTTTGTGCAAACGAAATCATACATTTTTAACAAGTTGACAATGTATAACAATGTATAACTTTATGTAATAATTCCTGGAGTGTACTTACATAGTTCACAATTACAAATGACCAGCCAATCTGTGCGAATGTGATGTTCATAACCCAGAGCCACACCTCTACATCCAAGAGCACTCGGAACTTACTGTCACTGATTTCTTTCCGATAGTCAGATGCGTCAAACCAGCATGCTCCAGACGTATTCTCAACGAGATCCTTGGATGAACACTTTCTGGTAGTTGCCACTCTGGACAAGCCAGTGGCGTCTTTATTCCTGTCAGAGGCAAAAGGTCCTGCAAATATCTTCTCGCAAACGTTGGACGATATCTCTTCGGAAGCCGTCTCATCTTCTTGGCTGATGATGTCTTTTTCGCCGTCAGAGTTGTCATAAACTTTAAATGTCTTTTCGCGCTCGTAGGATGAGCTCTTTTTGATAGCTGTCTCATCGTCTTGGCCAATGGCAACTTTCTTCCATTTTGAGGAGTCAGATCCTACTAGTGGTTGTTTGCTGCAGTTGGATGAGGTCTCTTTTGGGGCTTCCTCATCGTCCTGGCTGATTGTGTTTTCCTTTCCTTCAGAAGTATCTGACTCTTCAGAAATCGTTTTATCGCCATCGTAAGATAACGTCTTATGGATAACTGTCTCATCATTCCGGCGGGTAGTCTCTTTCTCCCCTTCAGACACATCAGACTCTTTGGGTATCTTGTCTTCGCCATTTTGAGCCGTCTTTTTGATTACTGTCTCATTTTCGAGGATGACAGTGACTTCCTTCCATTCAGGTATCGTCTCGGGATCGTTGAATGAATTAACTGTGGTTAATGTAGCTCTCTCGTCTTCTGGGGTGATGCTGTCTTTCTTCCCCTTAGTAGAGCTAGACCCATCAATCATCTCCTTAGTATAGTGGGATGAAGTCTTCTCCCTAGCGGCTTTTTCCTCTTCATTTTGGCTGCTTTGTCTTACTTTGTTGCACTTCCAGAAAGTCAGTGCCGACGCTAGACCGACGAGGAGCATCACGCCACTTAGAATTCTGAATGAGTTTCTCCATCCACACGATGCATTGAGAGTATTGAGCACAGGCCCAAAAACCATGACACCTAAAAGTAAATTTAGTTTAAGTTACAACACTGAGATAAACTAAAAACAATCCAAAGATAGGCCATGTCTCTATCTGTGATGGCACAATCGATGCCGATCGTGCATAAGATGTTTGGATATCTAAGTTTGTCTTGGTTTATAGGCATAAGCAAAGTAATTATGAGCTTAAATAGATCTAACAGATTCCCCCTGTGATACAACGTTTTATTCTGATGCCCCAAAGAAACCAAATGTAGCTGGCCCAGATGTTTCGACAGTTTTCCGGCTATCTAACCAGTACTACCCACATCCGCAGCCGAATCAACGTCAACCCCCACCCCCCCCCCCCCCCATTGCAAACCAAGACCCACAACGCCAGTCATCGAGACAAAGAATTGAACCAATACCTGGAAGAGGTCAGAGAACTACGCAACTTAATTTGTAATTGTACGTGTATGTAGACATTTTGTAATGTATGCAGAGCCCCAATTGAAACCAGTTTTAAACTGTTTGAGTATTCCATGGGTAAATATATAAATAAATCCTTTAAAAAAACCGTCAGAATTTTGGATTAATAGTAAAAATACACATGTTCATCAAGTGACGTCTGCAGTTTGTTTTTTAACAATAAATAAAGTATTCCCTGGCTAAAGAAATGTAATAAATAAATAGATAAATCCATTAATTTCTGTTGAGAAAAACAACATTTTTCTGGTAAGCATTTCCTTTGAATTTCCTCTGAATCCTGACATAGTCTTGTTCCCAGATAAAAAGATTCTGACCATTCCTGATGAATTTAAGGTCGGGTAGCCTCCGGTAATACATTGAATTACAATTTACGTCACGTGAATTTCAAACTTGAAATTCAACGACGATTTTGTGGATCAAGTATACTCGGATCGTATGGGCGAACTTTTAGCAGCGTCATGTACTATTTTGAATTTGATGACCGTTACCGGGAATTTCCAAAACTTTGCGTGGTCTTCATTCGGCTCGGCCTGCTAACAGTGCTATTTTGGGTGCTTAATTTTGAAGATTTCATATCAACATTAGTCAATGTTATCTTACAGAAATATCAAACTGTATTATCTTAACTGTATAATTTTACGAAGCAAGTGATTTATCTAAAAATTTGATCAAAACATTAAAAGCTATTAGTGATACAGCGAAATCGGAAACGAAGGGCCATCAATGTCGTCATGTTTATTTAAGCCACGGAGACTGTCTGACCTACAATTTAGACGTGAGCGTCGGGAATAATTGCCAGGTCTTGGGAACAAGACTCAAAAAGTCAAGCCCTGTGTTCGGGGCTTATAAACGAACGTAACACATACCAACTGAGCTTCCAAGCAATGCACTTCCCGTGGCGCGGCAGTTCTCTGGCTGGTCCGAGTACCAATCCAACAGCAGACTACCAGCTGCAAAGTGAGCGAAGCCCGCCCCCAGGCCCGCCATGATGCCCAGAGTCAGGTATCCGTGGCCTAGCGAGGTTATGAATGACGACGACATGAAACCAGACAAGGCCAGGACGACGCCGAGGACCGAAAGGCGAAGATTGCCGATTTTGGAGCCAATGACTGCAGCGAGGGGAGATGATGCACAGAGCAGCGACGAACTCAATGATCCCAACCACCCTGAAAAGAAAAGAAAATACCCTTGAAAACAATTCGATGAAAGATACAATAATAGGCTATATTTCGAGCGAATGTGGGCGCTGTAGCAAAGCAATTTGGGGCACATGTATAAACAACTGTAATGCAAGGGTGACGTGAGCTTAAAAACACAATACACATTCGCAATTGGAATTTAAAATTAAAGTAATGTTACTAAATGTCTTTTATAAACTGGTATTTTGGTAGTTTGTGACGAAGAACTGGTGTCATTGCAGCACCCCGACTTCCTCAACAATATGGCGTAACAAACACCGTTACTTAATGGGCTACTAACAGCGGTTTGAACTCGAAAGCAGAACTACGGTGCATCCTTTGGAAAACAGCAGAAACACACACCCTTACCTACCTTTAAACACATAACAAAAAGTTTTCAAATGTCAGGTACTAGATGCTATTCAAACAACACTGTTTGGTTATTCGGACCTGGTAGGTTAACTTTGCTATCTCTTTCTAGACCTTCAACTAGCGGTAAATCGTTTACTTTGGGATTGATTAAACAGAGTTAGACAAGGAAATAAGGGAAGTTAGCCAAGGGTATGGTATAACGTTGCAAAGGCTCAAGTGGTGGGCGCGGGGGCTACGCGGCAGAGAGGATTTTTGCACTGTTCTAAACAGACACAATGAATTGTTGAAGATTTAACGGATTTTCTCTCTCCGAAACAGATGACAACTCTTGGAGATGTTTCATGGGACACTGGTTATGGCCTAAAATTGTATTCCAAAATACATCAGTATAGTATAGGCATATAAAATAAACACAAATAAATCTATAAACTTTACCCAATGTCAAATGTGTGACGATGCAGGACAAATATTGATCTACTTCGCTCACCTGTCACAGCTGCACTCGTTTGAAACTCATCTTGGAACCTTACAAAGAAAACATTGTAGTTATACAGGGGCCCCGCGGTCACGAACAACTGTGCGAAAACGGCCAAAACGACCAATATTTTCCAACCAGTTGCCACCGACATTTTGGTTTGCTTTAGGCAAAACACTATTGGTGAGTGCGAATGAGGCTACTAGAGAAGTTAATTACCTTACGCATTATCACAATAACCGATACAAGCCTTGGTTTATCGCGTCCAAGCCTGGCATTCTATTGAAACTGTCTGAACTGACAATAAGAGAAGATAAACTGCTTTAACCTTCAGGTTGTTGGTTTTTTGTGTGTGATCTGTGTAACCGTCACTTACAGAGTAGTGATAATGGCTGGATCTATTATCACTTAAATTGCTGAAACCTTCAAGTTACTTTTTGTTGTGATCACAGCTCACATGTGCCTGAGAGGACAGTATTGTGATTTGGTCATAAATATCTGCCGTTAGGTATTCAGATCTGCTGATGCTTAAACGGGGTTGCAATGACATGCAAACAAAATAGTCATCAAATAATCCAGATTTATATGAAAGAAGGTCATATGATAGTGGTGGCGGTTTCGCATGACCAAATAAGCCTTGCACGTAGTCCAGCTGGGAATGGAGGAACGTGCTCCCTCCCCCAGCCACGCCCCTCCAAGCATATTAACGCTACCATCAGCTGCTCTGTCAGCTTGTAATAGATCACATGCAAATGTCACACCTGTTTACAAAACTGGATGTTGTGATGCCAAGTGTCACAAAGTCTTTTTTTTAGCGAGTAACTTTGATGTAACTTTTCAGTGGTTAGATGACTTGTACATGTCTAGGTCTGTGTGCGTCGTTGGTCATAGTCACGTTTGTTGTTGTTCCAAGGTTGAGTGGTTTTGGTCGCAAAGAAAGGTTAAAGGTACTGTCGTCGCGGGAAACTTTGAATATGTTTTTTGGTCCTACGGACTTCTGGGAGCATCGTGGCGTGGCGAGGCTTTTGTTTTTTTAGGTGCGGCAGAAAGCTTGATATCTCGAGCAGTGCCGGCGGCCTGCTAGCAATTATTGCCCCGCAGCGATTCTACTTCTGTTTGGATGTTGCAATTTGTAATAATTTCGATTGCCATCCACTTATTTTGTGTGTGATTTTGAGAGATATTGACTCTCCAGTACACCTATTTGCTTGTGAGGGGCACATGGTTTGAGGCTACATTCCATGTTTTTTTCGGAGAAGAGAAGAGTCTCTTGTGACTGTGAGTATTCAGTTATTTTCTAATTTAAATGTTATGTGTTTATATAAATTCATGCTAGTCATTTTCCCAGAGAATGACATGTGTGTTGGATATGACTTAAATTCGATTAAAGAAAGCCTGAGAGTCTTAGATAGAGATGTACCTTAAAGGAATGATGTGTGTTCATATTTAACGTTACGAACTATCCAGATTTATTGTAGAGTATGTGCCTTTAAGAATGATTTTTCACCTTCTTTTCCTCTTTCTTGATATTTACTTGATTGTTGAGAAAGTTAGCTACATTTCCTTTGGTATAGAAAATCTATTGATTGAGATCATGATCATTGTTTTAAAGAATATTGCGCCGTGACGTCATATTTGGACATTGATTGATAAGGCAGTAGCCAAGATTGTGTTTATTTTAGTAGAGAAGATATTTTACTTAATAAATGCTTTATTTAGATGGCCAACTAGCACGGAAGTACGGGAGGCACGTAATTCCCCACTGAGGCTATCCCATCCAGGCCAGTACGAGTGCCACCAACCCTATCGACTGCTCCGAGTGAGGTATAATATAAAGCTTCAGTCACTCAAACGATGTCAGCACTACCCAGTTAGGTTTGCGAAGTGGTTTTCTTCAGGAGGTTTGCGGTCGTGTGGGGGTTCGGGCAACAGGGGATGCTGTGCAGTTATAAGAGAGAGACTTACTTGCCACAACAAAAAATTTGAACTCCACTTTTGCTCCTATACCCAGCTCGTTATTTGTGAATTTAGCGCAACATAGCGGGCACTGATGAAATGGTGACGTAATTGCTCGGTATTATCTTCAAGCCAACTACGTAGAAACTCAACTTTTAAATTGCGAGTTTCGTGGATTTGTATTGTGTGTTTCTTACAATCTTCTAGTGTATTTTCATGTACAATTTATGATTTGTAGGTCTACGGTGTCAAGAACCTGGCAAATAAACGCCCGTGGCTTTTGGTCTTGGTGACCATTTTAGCACACATACCAAATAAAGATACTAGAGAGGGAACATAGGACACCGGGTATCTATTTGTACGGTGACCTGTGAAACACAATGACGTCATCAAATTGGGGGATATGCGGAAGGGCGCCGCTTACGGCAGGTAAGTAAACGCGCATGACGCTAAGGGGAATTAATGGGTGCAGACCAGTAAATCGGTCCGAAATTGCCTACGCCGGCCAAATCACGATTTGCATGCCCTCAAAATCTTCGGTTATTAAGCATGCTGTGGGCCATGAACTTGAGGGTTTGTAACAAATATGGGTGAAAGCCGTGCACAGGGCTGGGAGCTTGCAGTTCTGTGTAATTTTGATGTAATTTGGACCCGAAAAGCGCTCTATTTTGCAATGGAGTGTAGGCATCGTTTTTAAAAATGGCGATGGGCTTCAGGACTATTTTCAGGGGTGATCATCTTTAGATGGAAATTTCTCCTAAAAGTCATAAGTTGACCTCCCACAAATTGAAAAGAAAATGAAAGATGATGAAATAAGCTTTAATTTGATGTATGTCTCGAACACCTTGAAGAGTAGTGAGTATTTTTCCCGAATTTTTGAAGTGGGAGCATTTACCATTGGGGTCTATGGAAGTTTATTTACTGGTCTGCTACCTACAGTGTAGTTTCAAAATGGCGCCTTCCATCGTTTGTTGTCAAATGTTTGGGGAGTGTTTTTTTTCAGGGAGGCGGAACCTGGGGGGGGGGGGGCAGCGTTTCAAAAGGGGTCACCAATGGCGGTTCCGCAACAAATGCGCCAAAAATCTGAATAGGGCCGATGGACCGTCGTCCGATCACAGTAATTTCGAGCGAACATGGGGGGGGGGGGGGGGTAATTTGGGGTCGGAAGGAGCAAAAACTCAAATAACGGCCAATGGGGGTGCCCTGCAGTAAGGTAGCCGCAAACAGAGGGCTTGTTTCAGGCCAGAAATCGCAGTCAGATATGTTTTTTCTTGCAATTTTTTGATGAAATATGAGTCATCCATCCTTCCTCGTGCCGCACAAGTGGTTTGGGGAATTTTTTCAAAACCTCGCTTCTTTATAGGGTGCAGACCAGTAAATCGGTCCGAAATTGCCTGCACCGGCCAAATCACGATTTGCATGCCCTCAAAATCTTCGGTTATTGAGCATGCTGTGGGTCATGAACTTGAGGGTTTGTAAAAAATATTGGTGGAAGCCGTGCACAGGACTGGGAGCTTGCAGTTCTGTGTAATTTTGATGATATTTGCACCCTAAAAGCGCTCTATTTTGCAATGAAGTGTAGGCATCGTTTATCAAAATGGCGATGGGCTTCAGGACTATTTCAGGGGTGATCATCTTCAGTTGGAAATTTCTCCTAAAAGTCATAAGTTGTCCCCCCAAAAATTGAAAAGAAAATGAAAGATGATGAAATAAGCTTTAATTTGATGTATGTCTCGAACACCTTGGAGAGTAGTGAGTATTTTTCCCGAATTTTCGAAGTGGGAGCATTTACCATTGGGGTCTATGGAAGTTTATTTACTTGTCTGCTACCTAATACATGAATTATAGGGCATCGGTGTAAAATGCAAGCGGGACTTTCATTAAAGAAAAAACTGTAAACAGACAAATACACCGAGAAACTAATTTAAAAATAAGTAAAGGATTGAAGGATTGAACAAATAAATGAATAAAAAGGGGAATAAAAGGAATGTCGATGAAAATACGTCGAGATTTAGCAATGCTTAGGCCAAAAAAAATAATAAGTCGGTCTCTGGTCAGCGCGCGCGTCGATTTTAATCATGTGCGTCGATCTTTTTTTTTTCACTATGTTCCGCGGTAGCTCCAACAGGGCCCTCTATTTCCGCACCTCCTCATTTTTTTTTTACCAAAGAGCACCAAGGAATGGGAAATTGCACCAAGGCAAATGATCGAAAGCACCAAGGCAAATTATGGAGGATACCAATGTACATGAGGACACCAAAAAAGCAAAATAGTACCTACCTTGTCTGTACAATCCAAGCTTGAAGAAAAAAACAAAGCAAAAAAAAAAAAAAAAAAGCCGCGTGGCCCCGTCAATTCCGGAACTTTGGTCTGACCAAATTCGATATTTTTTAAGGGGCGGGGGACGAAGCAATGCAATCAATGAGGACTCTTGCGGCGATTGCCTAACAAGTCTACAGCTTCCCTGAAGTTGTTGAAATATGGAGACCAGCTTCAAATTTTTTGCCTTGAAAAGCAAATAGGCATGGTATTTTTATTATTAAATATGAATACATCATTTCCCGATTATAACCCCTTGCTCATAACATAAATAGAATGATTTTTGAAGCTTTGACGTTCAAATAATAATTCACATTATTTTAAAAATGCATAACATTACATTACAAGAGCTGCAAACATTTAAAAAATGCATAATTCTTTTAAAAAATTAAACAATAAATGCATTAACAATTCAATTAATTAATCAATTTAACAATTACCTAATACAGCATAATTTCTGAGAAGAAAATAAAATAATGCATTAATAATTAATTACTTACTTTAATTAATTAAGTCAACAATTTATTAATTATAAGTTATAATAATTACTACTATTACTGTAATAGGGCGACAGGTTTTGCGAACTCCGTCCACAATAGGGCGATACACCTTATTGAGGCGACAAAATAACTGTCGCCCTTTTATGAAAACGACCCTTAGGACAAGGAATTTTGCTGTCGCTAACCATCTAGATCGATTCCTCATGGTCCAATTAGTATAAATACTAAATTTCGTGGAAAAAACATAAGGTAAACTTGGGTGAGGTGACAGTTTAGGTTTGTGCACAAGTCTATGGGAAAGTCACCCTATTGGGGCGAAAAGAGTACAAAGATTATTTTTTAATATGCTTTAGCTAACATAACAAACGCTGTACACTTAAAAAATGCATAATTTCTTTTAAAAATCATTAATAATTAAATAATTTATGTATTATTTACTGTAGTAAATCCCACGATGGGGGACAACTTGGTGTTGTCAGCTTGCGCTGAACCAACGGTGTGGGATGTGAATCCCGGGTCAGGGAGCAGTAGGCCTTGTCCAAAAATATAACACGCCAACTCTTGGTTGTAACTTGCTGTCTCGGTTTTTATTGTGTTGACTACGAAAACAAAACCCCTGAAATGACATTTATAAACTTTATTGTTTCATTACACGCATATTAATTACAAGAAATTATTTAATTAAAAGTCTTGATTTCACACACAATTGTAAAATAATAAAGAATAAATTATAAACCTTGTCAGAATAAATGTCCAAAGTCTCTCTGTTCAATTATTTAATTAAGATAAGCATGAGATGCTCACCCAACACTAGGCTTGAGCCTTCAGTAAAACAGGACCCTGGCTGTACTACATGTACATGTATGTGATCATGGAGGAATGTCTCTGAGCTAGCGGTCTAAGGAAACAATCCAATCACACAGAAATTACAATTAAACAAATACATGAAATAAGTGCTTGAATAATCTTGCAGTTCAATTGATAAAACAATCAGTAAACTACATGCAAATGCTGCACGAATGCCCCAAAACACAATGTTTGATGCGTAAAAACAGTAAAGCATTTATAGAGCCGTACGCACTGGCCACACAGACTAGGTGAAAATGACAACCCTTGTTTACAAGTTCATGTACATTGCACGTACAGACGCGCGCACACAACACGAGCCCACGTATAGAAATGTACATGTACACGCTACGCACTGATGATAGCTACAAATAGATCGCATGGCCGGCTGACATGAGCGCAGAATTACAGCTGTTTTCTGAACTAACCCCTCAGCTTTACCCTTCCAAAACCACACCTATGATATCAGTTCAATATGATACTATCCTTCAAACACAAGGAGTGTTGGCAAACCATTAAATACAAGCAGAAATTCAATGAAATTGTCTCTCACCGTAAGCCCTTTTCCTCACGCCATTCTAGGGACGCCGAAAGAGGCCGTATTACTTAACAACTTATGTATCCATGGGCCATTTCCATGTGAGTAAATCTGCATTATCCCTTGATTTCAACTATTAAAAGTGTTCTAACATAATTGTTGTCTTAACTCAATTCACATAGGGTTATCACCAAAAGATGAATTATACATCAGATAAGGGTTACAAACATAGGATGATCCAGAACTAGTTCCTGTTTGGCGGAAGGCGACTACCGCACCCGAGGTGATGTGCGCGCTGTAAACAATTCGCCTTAAAGCAGCAGTTTAGGGCTTAGTTTAAAGGTACTACATGTATATTCATAATCCATTTCCCCACATTACTTTGAAAATTATCCTGCCATAAACACTAAAGTAATGAACATGATTCAAAGTGCATACATTGTTCACATTACCACCCCAATCTCTGAACGTGTACAAAAGCTCATTAGCATAATACTTTTTAAAAAAGCGGAGAAATGCTGCTATTAATCAGGGAATAATCTGCTTTAAAATGTTGCATATGTGCATAATTTTACCCCTAAAAATTAATTTAGCGGCTTTGCATAACTAAAGTTTCACGTTGAGTGCATGGGGAAAAGTTTTGCATACCTGCCGTGCGCCTCATCGCGACATTTGAGCAAGTACATGCCCTGTTTCCCTATTTAAGCGGACCCGTCCTATCTTCCCCATGGGCGTGACCAGGATTTTTTTCTAGGGGGGGGAACATACTTTTAACCCCCAAAATCCTGTATTTCTCAACATATTCCCGATTTATCAGTTTTAGAGGGGGAAGGGAAATTTTGTCCCTCTCCATCCCATTGAATGTACACCACTATGACTCCGCACCTCTTTTTCTTCTCTCTTTTTCTTTTTTTTTTCTTCGTTTTTTCCCCTTTTTTTGGCTTTTCGGGGGGGGGGCGCCCCCCCCCCTTGCGACGCCCATGATCTTTCCCTCTCCAGTTTAATTTGGTACCAAATCAGACACAATTTATATATTGCTCAGGTATGGTGGCTTTAAAGGGACATCGCACATATATATTGACGCCAATATTGACGCCAATATTCACGACATCGCCTCCATGTCGCAAATATTTGCGTCAATATTGACAGCAATATTCACGACATGGACCCAAGTCGCAAATATTGACGCTAATATTGACGCCAATATTCACGACATGGACCCAAGTCGCAAATATTAACGCCAATGTTGACGCCAATATTCACGACATGGACCCAAGTCGCAAATATTGACGCCAATATTGACGCCTATATTCACGACATGGACCCAAGTTGAACAAAGGCTAGCGCATATCCAGACCAAATAACTGCAAGAAACAACTGTAAGTATTAATGAACGTTAGTATACCGCAGTTACGATAAGAAAATAGCATAACAAACCATTCCAGTCACGTTGTGTGCAAACTACAGTGCCAAACTATGTGTGCAAACTTTAGTATAATCTTGTGATGATCAGAAAGATGTGGCATAGACTGGCACCCTTATGTTAGGCCTCCATTCTTTGATCTATTAATCGTTTACTGCATTTCCCCCAGATATTCCATCATGCGGAGTTGCTGGCATAAAAACCCGAGGGCAAGACCAACGTTTCAAAGATGTTGTCGAGAATCTGGAGGCATTGCTTATTGAAGAAGAGGTAAAGCACATAAATACTATTAGCAAATCAAAAGATGCAAAATGATGTTAACTGGGGAACCAACATGTATAATTCAGAAATTTTGATATTGGTTTTTCATTTACTTTTGTATAAACAGGTGTGCATAACCGTGGGAAACATTGACGAAAGCATCTACGCGGTCATAGGAATAATGGAGGACAATGAGAAAGTCTGAAACACGAAACGGAAGGATGTGGATGATATTCTGAGAACTACAATCAAATTAAAAGCGCTGTGTGCAGAGATCTTCAATTAAATATTTATCAAAAAATGACGTTAAACCCCGCCCCCCCCCCTCAAAAAAAAGGAAATGATGCTGGTTAAAAAAATGCATAGTAACCGCGAGTAGCCTTTTCTTGAAGACAAAACATGTATAGTAAAGACTACATTTAGGAGAAAATTTCCTCTTTGAGCGCCAACATTCCAAAATGGCGTCTTTCATCTAGGAAATGAGTTTCAGAAGATGCTAAATAAGTAAAATGAATGCACATCGCATTGCACAGATGAGAAGAAGTGGCCTTGGCACATTTTAAGATGCATGTAAACCCTGATTCTGAGGGATGGGGGATATAAACATTAATAATTTAGCCTTTTCATATCAAGACACACAATATGCAAGTTCGGTGTTCTGCATGTGCACATCACGATTTTCTTTCGGGATAAACATTTCATCGTGTGCGTGCAATAGCACAGCGGGGTACAAGCACAATTAAAGAGATCGTCGTGTTCTGAAGTAACGTTTCGCTTAAAAAAACCTCTGGACAGCGAAGTGTTTTGGGGTGTCTTGTGAGTCCAAACGAAAGTTTCCATCTCTTTTCGATTGCACGAAAAATAACACAGAATGCAGATTCTGTTACCACGTCCCCTGGGTTATTGCTCATGCTTTGACATTATGAATTTAACCATTACCTGTACGCATAACGAAGAAGGAAGGCGCGAATGCTCAATAATGAAATTCGCCAAACTATTGGTTTATGTACTTCGTAATTATGAAGTATGTACATAGATATATTACAAGAGTTTAAGAATCACTAAGAGGTGTATCCAGCTTTTTGCGTGAGTGCATCTTATAAATAAATGTAAATATTTTTATACTCATCTCTTAACCATATTGACATACAAACATACATAACCATCCACTCATTTAAATGTATACGGTGTAACTTTTTGCTTAACTAGATTAATATAGTGAAACGTTCTGCTAAACAGCTTGAAATTGTAACATTATGCTTAACTAGATTGAAATAGTCAACCATTATTGCTTAACTACTAGAGTTATATAGTGAAACCTATATTGCTATTGTGTAGCGTTTACCTTAACCTGGTTGACGCTGAGTAACGTTCTGACTAAGGTGATATTGCCTGACCACCTTAAAGCGATGTAATGCTACTTGGGTTGATTTTGGGTGCCCTTCTGCTGAACCATAGATTAAGTGGTGATTATATAGCTTTACCATCTAGTGAATCGAAGTTAATTGCAAGATATAACTTTGACGGCAAAAATGTAAGTCACTTTCATACGTGTACTTGATCGGTAACGTTTCTTACTCAGACAATGAAAGACAGTGATATGCGACGAAATGTCCACACTTTGAAAACAATTCTAAGAAGGTTTCAAAACCCAGATAAAATACCATAAGGCCCTAATCAGTCATACTTTTCCTTTCCACAATGCAGTTACGGATTATTTGGACGGATTATTAAAGACTCTGTTTTATCACATTCTGTCTACGATCATTTCATGTCAAATCTGCATGGAACCAGAGCATCCCATTCTTTGATCAATAAGTAAACATTTGGAGAAAGAAAATAGTTAAGATATACATATTAAAATACCATCAAACTGGCCAGCAGTGGATTTTTGTCTTGACGCAACATCAGATTTTTAGTCAAGTCCACACAAGTTTTCCAATGTCAATTCACAGTCATTTTAGTGTCAGGTCAAATCACAGGTAATTCATATGAACTTTGAGAATGGCATTGTCCCCTTTCAAAAGTGAGCTAACCCGCCACCAACTTGTGGTGTGAATTGTGAACAACTTGAGATTTTACATATGACGGACTTGTGACCTGACTTATGATGAGCGTATGCTTTGTCTTAGAACGGACTTGTGATATGACTTATGATTGACTTGCGATTTGACTTGTGATGGACTTGTGATTTGATTTATGATGAGCGTGTGGTTTGGCCTATAGTGGACTGTGATTTAAATTGTGATTGAACTGTGGTTGGCTTGTGATTTGACTTTAATGATGAACTTGTTTTTTAACTTGTGATTTCACTTGTGATTTCACTTGTGATTGGCGTGTGTGATTTACCTGATGATTGACTTGTGTTTTAAATTGTGATTTCATTTGTGATTGACTTGTGATTGGCCTGCGACTAGACTTGTGATAGATTTGTGGTTTTTAGTTTTGTGGTTTTCTTTGTGAATTAAGGTTGTAACTGACTCAACCACAACTCTGTTCAACACTCGCTTTCATACGCCGGGTTAGGCGTTCCCAACTCTGCGGTGTTCGGTTTCTCCAAGTAAACAGTGTCACTCGACTTGTTGTGGTGCCTTTTATTCTCCATTGCATCTCGCGAGACACACCAACGCCGCTGTAACTTTCTTTTGGCGGGAATCAATACCGCGCAAAGGACGGAGAGCGAGAAACTGCCCACAAGGACGAAGAGACTGAATGTGTAGTCGCCAGTTAGGTCGTACAACCCGCCTGCAATAGAGATTGAAATACACCAATATTAAGCCAAATAAACATTTTGACAGAACTACTCTCATATCCAAAGGTTATTTGTTTTGTAGGAAAAGGAAGTATATGAAAAAAGAGACAAACATACACTTAGGCCAAAAAAAATAGTTCTGCTTCCGGTTTCGCCACCTACCCTATTCTAACAGCCCCTACCCTAATTTTTCTTTTGGGAAAATGAGTGGGAAAAAAAAACTCCAAACCATCAATTTCTACCTTTTACCCTAACAACACGCAGACGCCTCCATATGATCGTACACAAAAAAATGCCAAAATAACACACAGAAGCCACGCCAATTATTATGCATTAGTTGGATAGTAAAAGTAGTGAAGACATTTTTGTTGTGCTTTTAAATACCTTGTGCTTACTATTTGCATAAAATCCGGAAGGGTCGTATAGTCCTTGATCACGACAGGAGAAAGATCAATGATATGCAATGTGAACTTTGACGCAGTGACACTCTGGGAACCAGACTAGTGAGAAGTACGCGACAAATTGCAACTGGACTTGGGCACAAATAAAACACGTTACGAGCGTTTGCTCTCAGTTCGTAGTCAGGCACGTAGTCCAGACTCACCTAAGATCGGGGCGCCCATCAGACTCCCCAGACCGAATCCAAACAAAGCGATTGCAGTAACGACACGAGGACCGTAGCTCCGAAATAACTCGTTAGCAGCTGCCATAGACGCACCGTAACATCCTCCTCGACAGAGGCCCCATGCTGGAAAACAAATCAACATAAAGGAAGAGTTACCCCCTTATTCCTCCTCTTTTATAAAATATGAAAAGGGGGTGGGGCGAGAAATCACTCTCAAAACCGGGTTGTTGTTTTTTCAGAACCAACGCTTTACAAAAAAATGGCTGTCATCCGCAAACCTAGTATTTGGTTTAAATTCAATAGATCATATGTCTTTGCGTCCCACCCACTTCACATTGTCACACTAGGAACTCGTTTGTTCAAAACGCTATCTATCTGTTCAATAGGTGATATTGATATTGATATTACTGTCTGAAGAGCCGTCATTTTAATATGTCATTTGTATGGTCTTGTCTTTTTTATTGTTGTGTGCTATGTTGACTTACGACTAATTGTATGTGTAATGCATCGTGGTCCTCTCAATTTAACTGTATTGTATTATTTTTTTTAGTGATCGGTGCATATTGCACTACATATTGGATAGTGCTTTTATGTAATGTCATTGTTCAGAAATGCCAGTGGAAGCTGAATTTCTATACTTTTATGTGTGGATAATAAACTTCGATTTGATTGATTTGAAGATAATAAAGAAATGATATTCTAAAAGATAAACATACGTAATTGGAAAGAATTTAAAGAATGAGATGTGCAAAGAAAACAATTGCAAGCCAAAGTTGTGAGCGATGTTATTTGTTTGTGTATTGGTGTAATATTCCACAAAAGTGTCATGTGCACAGTCAATTAACACAACATAAACCTAAAGAAAACGATTGATTTTATGTCCATTCAAAAACAAAATTGAAAGAAAAAGAAACATAACATTACCGATTGATAAGCACATCATCTGCTGAAAAGTTGAACAGAGCGTCAGGAAGGCTGAGACAACAGCGCCACAAAGCGAGGACGTCACTATCACGTACATCTTCAGACAGGGCAAGCGATCTCCAAACATGGCGAAGGCGATTTTGCCGGCTACTTCCGCAGCGCCAAACACCGTTAAAACAAAGGAGATCTGCTCGGTGGATAGCTCGTTCCTCTCCATGAAGCTGGACTGATTTATGAAGAGAATACCAACATTAATTGAAAACTGTCAAAGAAAAAAGTAGCAAGCCGCATTGGAGTTTGTTCAACGGTAAAAAATAGATACAATGCACACTGCCGTGCACAGGAACACAATTACCTCCTGCCGACGCAGACACGAAATCGATGTAGTCTTATTAACACTCTGATGGAATGTTAGTGCTTAGAGCACAATGGGCCTCTCGTGAGTGGTGATACTGCACCATATACTGTTTTTGTGCAAACAAAAAAATACATTTTTAACAAGTTGATTGCCGAGGAAGCTAACAATGTATAACATAATGTAGTAATTCCTGGAGTGTACTTACATAGTTCACAATTACAAATGACCAGCCAATCTGTGCGAATGTGTTGTTCATAACCCAGAGCCACACCTCTATGTCCAAGAGCACTCGGAACTTACTGTCACTGATTTCTTTCCGATAGTCAGATGCGTCAAACCAGCATGCTCCAGACGTATTCTCAACGAGATCCTTGGATGAACACTTTCTGGTAGTTGCCACTCTGGACAAGCCAGTGGCGTCTTTATTCCTGTCAGAGGCAAAAGGTCCTGCAAATATCTTCTCGCAAGCGTTGGACGATATCTCTTCGGAAGCCGTCTCATCTTCTTGGCTGATGATGTCTTTCTCACCATCCGAGTTGTCATAACCTTTAAATGTCTTTTCGCGCTCGTCGTCTTGGCCGATGGCAACTTTCTTCCATTTTGAGGCGTCAGATTCTACTAGTGGTTTCTTGCTGTAGTTGGATGAGGTCTCTCTTGGGGCTTCCTCATCGTCCTGGCTGATTGTGTTTTCCTTTCCTTCAGAAGTATCTGACTCTTCGGAAATCTTTGTATCGCCATCTTGAGACAATGTCTTATGGATAACTGTCTCATCGTTCCGGCAGGTAGTCTCTTTTTCCCCTTCTGACACACCAGACTCTTTGGGTATCTTCTCGCAATGTTTGGACGAAGCCTCTTCTGTTGTTCTCTCATCGTGCTTGCTGATTTTGTCCTCTTCTCCTTCGGAGATGTTTGACTCTTCTCGTATCCTGTCCTCGCCATTTTGAACCGTCTTTTTGATTACTGTCTCATTTTCGAGGATGACAGTGACTTCCCTCCATTCAGGTATCGTCTCGGCATCGTTGAATGAATTAACTGTGGTTAATGTGGCTCTGTCGTCGTCTGGGGTGATGGTGTCTTTCTTCCCCTTAGTAGAGCTAGACCCATCAATCATCTCCTTAGTAGAGTGGGATAAAGTCTTCTCCCTAGCGGCTTTTCCCTCTTCATTTTGGCTGCGTTGTCTTACTTTGTTGGACTTCCATAAAGTCAGTGCCGACGCTAGACCGACGAGGAGCATCACGCCACTTAGAATTCTGAATGAGTTTCTCCATCCACACGATGCATTGAGTGTATTGAGCACAGGCCCAAAAACCATGACACCTAAAAGTAAATTTAGTTTAAGTTACAACAATGAAATAAACCGAAAAAAATCCAAAGATAGGCTATCTGGCACAATCGTTGCCGAATGTGCATAAGATGTTTGGAGATCTAAGTTTGTCTTGGTCTATAGGCATAAGCAAAGAAATTATGGGCTTAAATAGATTCCGTCTTTGGTACAATGTTGTATTCCGATGCCCCAAAGATACCAACTTTAGTTAGCCTAGATGTTTCGACAGTTTTTCGGCTATCCAACCAGTGCTACCCGCAGCCGAAGCGACGTCAACCCCCCCCCCTTCTCCATTGCCAACCAAGACCCCCAACGCCCGTCATCGAGACAAAGAATTGAACCAATTACCTGGAAGAGGTCAGAGGACTACGCAACTTTATTTGTAATTGTACGTGTATGTATAGTCATTTGTAATGTATGCAGGGCCCAAATTGAAACGAGTTTTAAACTGTTTGAGTATTCCCTGGGAAAACAAGTAAATAAATCCATTAAAAAGGAGTGAAAATTTTGGGTTAATAGTGAAAATACACATAGTTTGTTTTTTATCAATAAATAAAATATTCCCTGGGTAAAGAAATGTAATAAATAAATAAATAAATAAATAAATAAAATTAAAAAAAATATTTTTTTCTGGCAAAAAACGCCAACATTTTCTGGAAAACATTTCCTTTGAATTTCCTCTGAATTCTGCCTTTTAATATCCGATAAAATCAAGCCTCGTGTGCAGGGCTTATAAACGAACTTAACACATACCAACTGAGCTTCCAAGCAATGCGCTTCCCGTGGCGCGGCAGTTCCCTGGCTGGTCCGAGTACCAATCCAACAGCAGACTACCAGCCGCACAGAAAGCGAAGCCCGCCCCCAGGCCCGCCATGATGCCCAGAGTCAGGTACCCGTGCCCCAACGAGGTTATGAATGACGTCGACAGGAAACCAGACAAGGCCAGGACGACGCCGAGGACCGAAAGGCGAAGATTGCCGATTTTGGAGCCGATGACTGCAGCGAGGGGAGATGATGCACAGAGCAGCGACGAACTCAATGATCCCAACCACCCTGAAAAGAAAAGAAAATACCCTTGAATACAATTCGATGAAAGATACAATAATAGGCTATATTTCGAGCGAATGTGGGCGCTGTAGCAAAGCAATTTGGGGCACATGTAAAAACAACTGTAATGCAAAGGTGACGTGAGCTTAAAAAAACAAACAATATACATTCGCAATTGGAATTTAAAATTAAAGTAATGTTACTAAATGTCTTTTATAAACGAATATTTTGGTAGTTTGTGACGAAGAACTAGTGTCATTGCAGCATCCCGACTTCCTCAACAATATGGCGTTACAAACACCGTTACTTAATGGGCTACTAACAGCAGTTTGAACTCGGAAGCAGAACTACGGTGCACCCTTTGGAAAACAGCAGAAACACACACCCTTACCTACCTCAAACCAAAACAAAAAGTTTTCAATTGTCAGGTACTATAGGTGCTATTCAAACAACACTGTTTGGTTATTCGGACCTGGTAGCTTAACTTTGCTATCTCTTTCTAGACCTGCAACTAGCGCTAAATCGTTTACTTTGGGATTGATGTAGCAAACTTAAAGTAACATCTAGTTCCATCATTAAACAGAGTTAGACAAGGAAATAAGGGAAGTAAGCCAAGGGTCTGGTATAACGTTGAAAAAGCTCAATAGGCGCGGGGGCTACGCGGCAGAGAGGATTCTTGCACTGTTCTAAACAGACACAATGAATTATTGAAGATTAAACAGATTTTCTCTCTCCAAAACAGGTGACAACTCTTGGAGATGTTTCATGGGACACTGGTTATGGCCTAAAATTGTATTCCAAAATACATCAGTATAGTATAGGCATATAAAATAAACACAAATAAATCTATAAACTTTACCCAATGTCAAATGTGTGACGATGCAGGACAAATATTGATCTACTTCGCTCACCTGTCACAACTGCATCCGTCTGAAACTCATCTTGGAACCTTACAAAGAAAACATTGTAGTTATACAGGGGCCCCGTGGTCACGAACAACTGTGCGAAAACGGCTAAAACGACCAATATTTTCCAACCAGCTGTCACCGCCATTTTGGTTTGGTCTAGCCAAAACACTGTTGGTGAGTGCGAATGAGGCTACTAGAGAAGTTAATTACCTTATACATTATCACAATAACCGATACAAGCCTTGGTTTATCGCGTCCAATTCTGGCATTTTATTGAAACTGTCTAAACTGACAATAAGAGAAGATAAACAGCTTTAACCTTCAGGTGTTTTTTTTGGTGTGTGATCCTCCGCATCCAATTTTGATTGGTCGCGCTCAACATGCAATTTTATTTGATCTGTGTAACCGTCACTTACAGAGTAGTGATAATGGCTGGATCTATTATCACTTAAATTACTGAAACCTTCAAGTTACTTTTTGTTGTGATCACAGCTCACATGTGCCTGAGAGGAGCGTATTGTGATTTGGTCATAAATATCTGCCGTTAGGTATTCATATCTGCTGATGCTTAAACGGGGTTGCAATGACATGCAAACCAAATAGTCATTAAATAATCCAGATTTATATGAAAGAAGGTCATATGATAGAGGCGGCTCCCTCTCCCAGTCATGACCTTCAAGCAATATAAACGCTACCATCAGCTGCTTTATCAGCTTGTATTAGATCACATGCAAATGTCACACCTGTTCACAAAACTCGATGTTGTGACGCCAAGTTTCTGGACACGGCTTTCCTCTTATCTCTTGTATATCTCTTAAAATATTCATGGTCGATTTCATACAATTGGTGGCGCTTTTTGAATTCCACGAGACGTTAGAATAGACGGCCAATCGTGGGAAAAAAAAACAGGTTTTCTTGAAAATTTGAAAAAAAAAAGGGTAAAACAAGAACTGTATGTACAACCCGCTAATAATGGTAAGTTGTAGGCATGTGCTGAACTAACATGTAGGCCTACGACCTTAGAAGCGCAAGGTTTAACAATAAAACGTGGATGGACAAAGGGTTGTGTAACAAACACCTCCTTCAATCACAAAAAAGGCCCTCCGTCACCCCACTGATTATTGGTATAATATAAAGCTTCAGCCACTCAAACGAGGTCAGCACTACCCAGTTTGCTTTGCGAAGTGGTTTTCTTTAGGAGGTTTGTGGTCGTGATGGGGGTTCGGGCAAAAGGGGATGCTGTGCGGTTTATAGAGAGAGACTTACTTGCGTATGACGCTAAAGGGTTTAAAGAGAGAGACTTACTTGCCACAAAACAACAAATTTGAACTCCACTTTTGCTCCTATACCCAGCTCGTTATTTGTGAATTTAGCGCAACATAGCGGGCACTGATAAAATGGTGACGTGATTGCTCGGTATTATCTTCAAGCCAACGTACTACGTAGAAACTAAACTTTTAAATTGCGAGTTTCGTGGATTTGTATTGCGTGTTTCTCACAATATTCTAGTGTAATTTCATGTCCAATTCACATAGATTCATGAAATGTAGGCCTGTACGGTGTCAAGAACCTGCCAGATAAACGCCCTTGGCGTTTGGTCTTATAGTGACCATTTTAGCACACGTACCAATCAAAGATACTAGAGAGGGAACATAGGACGCTGGGTATCTATTTGTACGGTGACCTGTGAAACACGATGATGTCATCAAATCGGGGGATATGCTGAAGGGCGCCGCTTACGGCAGGTAGGTAAACGCGCATGACGCTAAGAAGGGGAATTAATACATGAATTATAGAACATCGAGTGTGAAATGCCAGCGGGATTTTTATAGAAGAAAAGAACTTTAAACAGACGAATACACCGAAAAAAATAATTTTAAATAAGTAAAGGATTAAATGAATGAACGAATAAATGAATAAAAGGGGGAATTAAAGAAGTGTCAATGAAAAAAAGGCAAGATTTAGCAATGCTTATCAATATTTTTTCGGGGTCGGGGAGACCGAGCAATGCAATCAATGAGGGCTCTTGCGGCGATTGCTTAACCAGTCTTCCCTGAAGTTCCCATACATTTGCACTAAGTTTAGTCGGGCACAATTTGCAGTCATTAGTCGACATTTGAAGCAAAAAAATCAGGTAAAAAAAAAAAGCCGCGTCGCCGCACCACTTTTTGGGCAAGCTCCATACCAGAAACCGGAGACTTTTGTTTGGCCTTATGCTTTAATGTTCAGAAATGAACTATTTGAGGGGTTAGTATAATAGATCAAATTATTGTTACACTGACATGTTGGAAGTTTTGTCTTCGAAAATGCTGGAAAAACCAAGAAAAACAATGTTCAAGTAGTCTGGTTCCCTGACTCCACTGAAGATGAAATGGATCAATTTACAGATGCCGGAAAATTGTACGCTAAGGAAACCAGTCTAGCTGACCTACACCTATTCATGAACATAAAAACCAATTAGCAAACAAAATTGGACTGAAAAAAATGGTAAATTTGGAGCAGTAGTGAAAAATAGTTAGGTTTTCCTACGGTGGTCGGCCCACCACCGTTGACAATGTAAAAAAAAATACAATTTTCTTGAAAATGACTTCACATCAGGTGCCATAATTTTACAGGATGCTTTAGACTGTCATTTACCAACATCCTGTAAGGTATTTCGTAAAAACTTGGTCATTTTAATTTTCGATGTTTGCAAATGTTGTATTTTCCCTTTAATCAATTTAACAATTACGTACTACAGCAATTCATATTATTTTTAAAATGCCTTACATTACATTTCAAGCGCTGTACATTTAAAAAATATGCATAATTTCTGAGAAAAAAAATAAAATAAATGCATTAATAATTTATTACTTACTTTAATTAATTAAGTCAACAATTTATTAATTATAAGTTATAATAATAATAAAGATTATTTTCTAAAATGCTTTAGCTAACATAACAAACGCTGTACACTTAAAAAATGCATAATTTCTTTTAAAAATCATTCATAATTAAATAATAAATGTATTGTTTACTTTGAAAATTATCCTGCCATAAACACTAAAGTAATGAACATGATTCAAAGTGCATACATCGTTCACATTACCACCCCAATCTTTGAACCTTTACAAAAGCTCATTAGCATGATACTTTAAAAAAAAAAGCGCAGAGATGCTGCTATTAATTAGGGAATAATCTGCTTTAAAATGTTGCATATCTGCATAATTTTACCCCTAAAAATTAATTTAGCGGCTTTGCATAACTAAAGTTTCACGTTGAGTGCATGGGGAAAAGTTGTGCATACCTGCCGTGCGCCTCATCGCGACATTTGAGCAAGTACATGCCCTGTTTCCCTATTTAAGCAGACTGTCCTATCTTCCCCATGGGCGTGATCAGGATTTTTTTCTAGCGGGGGGAAACATATTTGTACCCCCAAAATCCTGTATTTCTCAACATATTCCCGATTTAACAGTTTTAGAGGGGGAAGGGACATTTTGTCCCTCTCCATCCCATTGAATTTACACCACTATGACTCCGCGCCTCTTTTTCTTCTCTATTTTTCTTTTTCTTTTTTTTCTTCGTTTTTTTCCCCTTTTTTGGCTTTTCGGGGGGGGGGGCAAACGCCCCCCCCCCCTTGCGACGCCCATGATCTTTCCCTCTCCAGTTTAATTTGGTACCAATTCAGACACTATTTATATAGTGCTCAGGTATGGTGGCTTTAAAGGGACATCGCACATAATATTGACGCCAATATTCACGCCAATATTCACGCCATCGCCTGCATGTCGCAAATATTTGCGCCAATATTGACACCAATATTCACGACATGGACCCAAGTCGCAAATATTGACGCCAATATTCACGACAATATTCACGACATGGACCCAAGTCGCAAATATTGACGCCAATATTGACGCCAATATTCACGACATGGTCTCCAAGTCGCAAATATTGACGCCAATATTGACGCCAAGATTCACGACATTGTCTCCAAGTCACAAATATTTGCGCCAATATTGACGCCAATATTCACGACATGGACCAAGTCGCAAATATTGACGCCAATATTCACGCCATTATTCACGACATGGACCCAAGTCGCAAATATTGACGCCAATATTCACGCCAATATTTACGTCATGGTCTCCAAGTCGCAAATATTGACGCCAATATTGACGCCAATATTCACGACATGGCCTCCATGTCGCAAATATTGACGCCAATATTCACGACATGGTCTCCATGTCGCAAATATTGACGCCAATATTGACGCCAATATTCACGACATGATGACCTCAGTCGCAAACCCACTCAGGCGTGAATATTCTTCTTGTTTTGAGCAACCTAGGTAGCAACTCAAGCAACTTGTCTGGCACACCCTACTATACAGTACACACATTTTAATATTGTGTTTGTGTTAGCGCGAACTTCCCTTGCTGCAAGGACACAGACGTCCAATCAGTGTGACCGTAAGGTCAGAGCCAAATTCTGCTAAATGCACATACAAAATCTGTCCGATTTATCAAAAATCTGCCAAATTCCCCAGAATTACTCGAAATACACTAAAAACACTTAAAATCACATGTAGAATTATGATTAACAATCTATAGTCACATAAAGATGTTTTGAAATTATCCCGTAAATTTCGGGCAAAACGCGGATCCGGCCACTATGACGTTTCCCAGTGAACTTCAGCACCTAGACCCAGAGTTGTAACGAGTCACTGATTTTTGTGACTCGAGTCGAGTCGAGTCATTAGGTCAAAGGTCGAGTCGAGTCGAGTCGAGTCGAGTCAAATATGTAGCTCGAGTCAATTCGAGTCACGATTATTTGAACACTATGTTTATCAAAATGTATAAAAGGAGGCCATAAATTTAGCGAGCGTTCAAATCCAAAAGCTTTATAAGAAATCGCCCAAAACCGGCAATGATGAAACAGCGAATTAGAAAATGTGTTAAAAATCTGGTTCCCGTATAGTATTTTGTGCGTTCTAGAACAATGAGGTGAGAGTCTGTGACACTTGTATATTTGTACATGACTGCTATTCGCAAAGTAAGGTGAGCATAAATTTTGCACCGTTAGTCATTGCAAATACTTTTCTCAAAGTTGCGCTTTTTATTTTTGGGACTCGATCGAGTCTTATTAGCCTTCGCTCGAGTCGAGTCGAGTCTTCTGATGAGGGACTCGAGTCGAGTCGAGTCATTTGCTCGCAGTGACTCGAGTCGAGTCGAGTCATTTACCCTTAGGGACTCGAGTCGAGTCGAG